GGAAGCGGGCATGTGTTTATTGAGCACTTCGAACTGATACGCAAGACCGAAGTCGCAAGCAAGCAGGGTTCCTCGACTCAGCTCTTTTCAAAGGTTTTGACAACCTGGCGTCCGATTCACAGACAACGATTCCGCGAGTGGCCCGCTTACAGCGGCCACCAACTGAACCACACCGTCATCGCTCTTGAGCACACTGGTGGAGGAAGAGAGATTATACCAACCCACTCCAACGAGAGGCCGAACGACGACCGACCCATCCGAAGCCTAGTGTGATTTATTCACTTCCCACCTGCGGACGCGTTCAAGCAGGCACGATGTAATTTCCCAGATGCCTCGAGGACAAAAGGTAGTCGACCAGATCAATGCTTCGCAGAGAATTCTGGGCTGAGCCTTCTCCGTGATCGGATAACCTGCGTTGCATACTTTGGCAGAAGAAAATTTCCACCTTCCTGTGACCAGGAAAAGAGCCGTGCCTCAGCTGGGCGGCGAGGGCAAGTACAGTACGTCCCGGTTAGGCACTCCAGAGGTCAGTCTAAACCCGTGCCTGCACCCACATCGAACTCCAATTGGACACGGTTTGCAAACAGGAAGTAAAGTACCCTTGAAGCCGTCTCATGCATGGCAGCCACCTTCCCAAACGTTGATTATACTAACAAAAAGGTCATGGAACTGGTCGGGGCAGACGTGGCATTCCATCGAAGATCGCCTGAGTGACGTCATTCGGGCGCGTAAGTTGCGCACGCGCTCGATGGAAGGCTTGAAATAAAACGGTACGATCGATAACACAGTACCTTTTGGAATCACCGCCCGCCAGTAGTGATATGCATCATCGCCTCTCAATGCCTGCTGGTCCGACCGTGTCACTGTGAAGGTGTGAGAGTGTGAAGGTGTGAAGGACCGGATCCAGGTTCTGACAGAAAAGGGCTTGTAGGGTCCTATAGCTGAAGAGACACCAAGCAAAGAAAGCGTAGAGGAACAGATGCGCAGAAATGACTGGAATCACGTACGAATGTGAAACATGCATATGCAGCTCTTGCAAAGATCAGAAGAGACAGGTGGAGAATGATACTAGCCCCAAGACTTGCCCGAGGGGCCACGGATTGCTTTTGACTTGGGTCTGGCGTGATAACGAAAGAAGAAAAGTCGACCCGGGTCAATCTGACGCACCACTGCCAGACCAGAAGTTTCAAGTTGCTAAACTACAGGAGAGGTAGCGACTCTCCAATTGTACAAGGTAAGCTTTTTGACGCTGGCAAAGCCGATAGACGAGTTGGCTATCTGGAAGGAAAAGGAGCTAATTGTCTCTACGCCGACAAGGCTTTCCATCACGTACGGCCAGAGAATCCACTGGCGGCACGAAGCGATGAAGAAGGAGATCAAGCAACGTCCCGTCGGACGTAAGAATCGAAGTAAGGTCCGTTTCCATTGATTACTTTGATTCTCCTCGCATATTGCTACTTTTAGAGCGCTGGTGCCACGTAAAGCACCGGGAGACTTGGATCTGAACGCGTTCGGAGGACGGGGAATGAACTTGAGCGAGGTAATTTGAATCCAGTTTCAATCCCGTAGCGTCAGTCGAGGGGAGTCACAACGAGTGGTTTATCCACCACAGCGCCCTTCGTCATGGCCACGTGTACCACTCAGACGACCAGGCCGATCGCTCCGTAATGACGGTCACAAGAAAGCCGAACAAATGCCGTAAGAATCTCGACCAGGAAGGTACGACGTGCGACCCAACTTGGCGTATCTTTCCCGAATCGAAAGAGGAAAAAGATAAGCAGCCGGAAATCGTGAAACGCTTGCATGTGGCTTGCAGCACACTTGATCGACAGAAAGAAACCATGAATTATGAGGCCCGGGTCTGCCAGCCACTAGTTTTCGCTGTGTGATGGACACCGATTTGCACTGCGGCGTACGTCACGTGGCGCTTCAAAACAATCTGGGACAGCTTTGGGAATTGCGATTTGGGATGAAAAGCAGGTAAAGTCCGAAAGAAAAATTGGTGATCGGCAGGGGCCGGAAACGAGACTCGGTTCTGCCAACACGATAATCTGGAGACAGTCGTTGGCTAGATAGTAAATGATTGACAAAGAGAGCGCAGGCAATCCTTTAGGGCTGAGGATAATCCGTTGCGAAGCCGTTGCTGCCGCCGGTCTAGCTCCAAGCTGGGTTTACGAAACATGTTTTGACAACGCAAGGCGTCAGGCGGCGTTGACACAAGGGCCGTTCACTTTTCGAAGTTCCGGCGACAAGTCGTGACGCGAAGGACCAAATAATGGAAGCTTTCACCTGAGCGATCCCTTCCGCACAGATAAAAAGCGTGATTGTTATGCTAGAATCTGCAACAACCTACATACATCGATGTGTGACTGGATCGGTGCCAACATCAGCAGAAACAACTCTTCCGTTTCCTTTTCAGGGACGTTTCCTCTCACACACAATACAGAGCACTCGCCACCAAAACAAAAACGTCCCTTGATCATTCTAATACGGTGAATGGAGGTCGTTCTGACATTGTCAAAGCAGCGGCCTCGGTCGGGAAGGTCCGACATTCAGCTGAACTGACAAGCAGTTCATAGCCGGAGCTCGTCATAGCCACGTGGCAAACCCTCCAGAGTCTAAATTGGCAGCGCTCCGTCCACTGCAAAAGCCCTTGCCCACGTGTCCAACTTTTCGGGCGACCAAAAGTGTGCTTAAAGGAGATTGAGTCGCCCATTATTTCGACAGGAGACCCGCCCACTCATGCCGTCATAAGAAGATTGACTCTTTTGTGACCTTTGCAACAAGGCTGACGGAAAACGTATTCAAAGTGGCCGAAGGTGCCCGGCTGACATGGCGACCAAGTTGTCGAACTCCCCCGCAGAACGGTCGCTACCAATAATGCTGGGTGCTGGGTCGGCCCGGTGACTGTCGGTTCGCTTGCTATCGAAGTCAGAATTTGTTGGCAAAAGGAGCACGGAGCAACTTAAGACGAGCGAATTCAAAAAGGGAAACGTTCGCGTATTCACAAGCTCTGATGAAAGAGGAAGTAAAGCCAAAAAAAGAGCTGTGGTATTTGCCTTGGCTCACTGAAGCTGACGGCGTGGCAGGAACCACAAGCCCACCACACGGAGACTGATCTCATTGCCTTCTGCCAGCTTCAATAGAGGCCTTGTGCACCGACGCCGTTGACTATCAATCTAGTATCCGTACGCACGTGTAAAAGTCCACGTTGCCGGACTCTGGGCCGTAGTACTCATGCAAAAACTTTGTCCGGTAGGGACACAGCGGCATACGAAGACGAGAACCCACGCACTGAAATCTTGGGACGACCGAAGTCTGAACGAGACCGTGCCTTTAGCCTGAAGCCTCATTAAAACAAGTGGTAAAGCCAAGGAAAGAGCCGTGATATTAGCCTTGGCTCCCTTTGAATTCAGTAGGTGGCAGAAACTGCAAGCCCACCACACGTAGACTGATCTCATTGCCATCTGCCCGCTTCAGTAACAGGCCTTGTGCGCCGACGTCGTCGTTAAATCATCAGTATCTTTCCGCACGTCTGAAAGTCCATGTTCAGAGCATCTAGGTCCTACCGATTCAAACTTTGTCTGGTCGGCACACAGCAGCGATCGAAAGACGAGGATGCACACAGTGGGAAGGGGCCCTCTTCAAAACGGCAAGATGGGAGGCCGTCGTATGCGAAGAAGGCGTCAAATTGTACTGACATTGAAGCGGCTTTTGTATTTGCAGCGGCCGACGAAAAGACCGACCAATTTATGTCCCATTTGTAAGCCTGTATTTATCTCTTCAAGAAAAAGACAGCGTCTTGCAGATTAGAGAACTGGCGCGGCTCGGAAGTAATGCAAAACAACTTGTCGCGTACACACTGACACATTTCTTCGTGTCAGGTCGGAGAAGCGAGCCTTCTTAGCCTCATAAGATTGAGTCGGGATGAACCTGTAGCCCTTTGATCGTCTTAGCAGTCCCTATAGAACGAAGAAAGAAAGCAGCATGACTTTTTTAAGCACGGCTCTCGACTGATATGCAAGAAGTCGCAAGGAAGCACAAGTCCTCGGCTTACGTCTAGCTTCCTCGACGCTCAGTACAACAACCAAATAACCTGGCATCCGATCATACTGTGAGATACTGAGAAACGTGTGGCACGTGGCCAGTCATAAAGCATCATTGCCAAAACGCAGATGTGCAGGACTTCCTGAAGTTCCAATTGTTCCATCTCACAGGTATAGTAGCACTGGCAGAAGTACGGTAGATCAGAAGGGGCAGTCGGTAGAGCTGTAGAGCCTATTTGCAAGGCCCTCAACATGTTTGAAAACAAATAAGTAGCTCCAGCCGATCGGGGAGAAAGAAATCTCAGAAAAATTATTGCTTTTGTATTGCCAGAAAGTCGATATCGAGAACCAAGGCGCCGGGTCGGCAGCATTTCCAAAGCCGCGCACGGAGACTCAAAGCAAGAGGCAAGTACAACTACGGGCGAAGGATGATCGAAGATTAAGACCAAAACGAAATAGCGTTGCCGCAAGATCGAAGGGGAGAAGCTCATCATGGGACTGGCAATGGCAAGAACAAGAATCCTTGGAAACGGAGACTTATTGCAACTGCACTCGTTTGAGACCAATTCCGCTTGCACAGACAACAAGCCACAGTTCCGTTCGGAAGCCTCGCGCATGACATGGTTGTAGGCCGGGCGCGTACAAGAACAGGGCATCAGATCGTGTCTAGTCGACTTCGGGATTTGGAGACGTCAGCCGCCAGCCACGTGGAGTGATCTTCATCACCAGCTATTGAAAGTGAGTGTGCCAAACGCGCTCTCGATCGCAATTAAACAGAGTATCAAAGAGTAACTTGTAACGTACACAACTTGGTATTATAATTTCCGACTCCCGTCAGGCCTGAGTCAACCATGCAACACAAAAAAGGCCGGACCAATATTTGCATCCGCCCACGCACGCTCACTTTGAAAAAGATAGTACGTTACTAAACCTGGTAACATGGAAATCTTGAAGCATCGCACAACGAGATCTGTGGTAACCCAATCACGCTTTTCAGCTTGCAACTGCTTGAGAGTAGTATGCTCTGGGTGAGCCTTTCATTGCCTTGTTCTTGCACAATGAGGAACGCAGACTTAGTCGACAGCTGGGTTGAGGACAAGTGAAAGGAAAGCGTCTTATTGTCCACAAGGTACCAGCTCTCAGTCGATGTTTCAGCAACTGTCTCTATGTACGTCATTCTTGACTGCATGTCTCGTTGCCCTACAGTCGATCATGCAACACAACACGTCCGGGCTGCAAGTGTCTCTCTACTCATCATATCCTCACAACAACCTTACGCTGTTTAAGAACAGCCTTTCCCTCTACACCAAACTTACTTTCTCCTCGACGACTTCCTCGTCGGTGCCGCCTCCCTAACTTCTCCTGCCCCGCCCCGGGCCTTTTGCCCCCTCCCTCGTTTCGCACCAGCAACCTTTTCCTTCTCATCGCGCCCGTTCTTCTCTCCCGCTTGCCCCTCCGTTTCTTTAGTGCTTTCTACAGCGGCCTGCCCAGTCCCCGGTTCCTCATCCTTCCCTTTCCCGTTTCCTACTGCTTCCTTCGTCTCTTCGTTCGGACCGGGTTCTTCGGCCGGAGCCTCAACTTCGACGGCCGGTTCTGACGGCCCCTCCTTTTCTTCCGCCTTCTTTTCCTTCGCTACGGTCTCTTCTGTTCCTACCGTCTCCTCTCCAACCGTCTCCTTCTCTTCTGCCGTCTCTTCCTTTTCAACTGCCTCCTCCTTTCCTGCCGTCCCTTTCTCTTCATCTTCAACTGTCCCCTTCAACTCAACTCCAGCCCCCTCGTCGGCCTTACCTGCACCCGCCGCCCCCTTCCTAGCGCGCCCTCTCTTTGCCGGCGCCTCTTTTTCAACCGGCTCCTCTCGTGCCCCCGGTTTCTTCCGACCTGTTTCTGCCGGAGCCTCTTCCGCAACGCTCGCCGCCGCTTCTTCGACCTTCTCTTTCTTGCCCCTTTTCACGGGGGCTGCTTCTTTCTCCACGACCGCCTCTGCCTTTCCCTTCCTCTTCCTTCCCCCCTGGGCTTCCATCCCCTCCATTTCCCCCCCCTCAATCTCCCCCATCTCCACCCCCCCCTCTGCCGTTTCCGGAGCCGGTTCCTCGACCTCAGCCACCGCTTCTTCTTTCTTCGCGGCTCTCCCCTTCGCTCTTCCACCAGCTTTCGGCTTTTCCTCCGCTTTAGTTACCTCCTCCTCCGCCACCCCCGCCGCATCTTCCTCCGCACCCCCCCTCTTTTTGCCCCTGCCGGCACCCCCTCGCCGTCCGCCGGCTTTGCTGCTCTCTGCCGGGGTGGGCTCTTCGACTTCTTCGTCTTCGTCCGAGTCCGCGTCCTTTGCCGCTTTGGCCTTGGACTTCCGCTTGGGCTTAGCCGCGCCGCTGCCGCCGACGCGCTTCTGGAGGTCCGGCAGGTACGCTGACGTCTGGAGAAAGACGGACACGAGTTTAGACAACCCCGCTTGTGTGTTCGCAGGGAGAACCAAGACTGTGGAGACCCTCAGTTTTCCGTTTTCAACAGGAAAGTCTGGTGGGAGAAGACCACAAGTCTAGAACGCCTCATTTCTTCAAAAGGGCTTCCGGATTCAACCAATGCAGAAGAATCTAGGACCCTAGCTCATTGTTTGCGGGAGAGGAGAGTCAGTACGACCAGCAGAGGAAGTCTTGAAGACTTTGAAGCTTTGGTTGCAATCTGAGGGCCCCCACAGATCCGAGTCTGCGGGCACGCAGAGGATATCCAAGAGCGAATGTAAAACGAGAGGCGCTGCTTTTGAAAAGGGGAGGTCTCATAATGATAACGAGCAGCATTCGGCAAGTGTATTAGTCTTCACGCTGGGGAACATCTTTCCTCTTTCCAACCAGATAGCTTCTGCTCTGCACAATGGTAAGTCAGCCTGACTCGGTTGAGTGTCCAGATCAGATCGCTTGCGCCTCCATCTGTGGCTGAAGTGCACATCCGAGAAGGGCAACACAGGACAATATGAAATGGAAAAGCCCTGAGACTAATCAAGAGAACAACTTCATACGAAGTGCACTGAAGGGCAGCCGGTTTTTCGATGGGCTACGAGTGGTAAGACGGCCTTTAAGCGCTGAAGACAGGTGCCCAAACTGAATGCCCAACAGACGCCTATGACAAAGAACGTGGACATCCAGACTGGAAGGTGTTACTTGAGCCTTACCCGGCCGCCAACCTTCAAGAAAGCCACGGCGTGTCCTGCATGATCAGGGAACGTATGATTGGTTAGAAATCAATCAGTGCTCTTTGAGAACATCAGGCTATAGATGTGAACCGTTGGTGCCCGCAATCTCAGCCCATAAATTTCGATAAGTCATTTCCGAGGATGCTCACTTTGAAACGCAACCTTTCAATGCGACGGGCCAAGAAACAGCAAGCGAATATGTAGAAAAGTAGCACAGCCCAGATATATGTTCGTCAGGAGACCGCAGGCAAAAGCAGTAAACAGAAGCCACGCCCTTAGAATCGCAACCATCAACCCGTCGGCTCCAGGAAGTAGGCATAGAGTACTGAGACGGAACGTCCCAAGTCGTCATCAATGCCAACGCAGGTTTTCAGCCCCTCTGCAGGGATGGTTACGTGCCTCTGGAAGCGAATAACAAATCTGGGTCGAGTGGGATGCCTCAAAGCAACGAGCGCCACAGTAGTGATTCCAAAAGTCATGCATGCTTTCTTATGGTCTGGACAATCGTTCGAGTGACTAGCTTTCGTGCTGTTAGGTTTCAAAGATGGTCCGAATTCATTCAGCATTGATTCCTAAGTGCACGAGAGGAGGTTGAGGCTCATTGTCGTGCCTCAAGGCAGCCAGCAACCCCAACAAGGACATTGCCGACGGATCTGGTGAAACGCTTGACGTGAAGCTGACGAGGGAGCCATTAACTTCGCAGGAAATAGTTGGTGCAAAAACAACGGACTATTCCACGCATATGTGACAATGCCCTCTCCTTGTACCCCGTGGTAAGCCGGAACGCGATGTCACAATCTTTTGCGCTTCTTAATCAGTTTGAGAAAGGCATGGAGGTCGAATGGAGTGGACATCGCCGTTGGCTCAACGTCAATGGCTGGGACTTCATGTCCCAAAAGCGTGCTTCATTGCCGACTCAAAGAGCCTTCCGTTGAGTGAGTAAAGCCAGTCCACTCGGGTCTCGCTGAAACGAGAGTACAACACCAGCACCCATAGACAGATCACAAAAATGACGATGCACCCAGCAAGTAGAAGTCGGTTCCACTTTGCTTTGTCCTACTGCACGATTCCGTCAGGGCCTTATAAGACACACGAGAGAGAGGAACGAAGTGACGAAAAGAAAAGTAGGCTGGTAAAAGAAGCAGCTGGTTGATCAAGTTCAGCGTGTGGCTCGCCATTGATGCTGGGCGCTTCCTTTTTGGACCATTGAAATAGATGGAACAATGGGCAATTCGAGTACCTTCTTTCCACCAGGCTCCACTTTGTAATCGGGTCACAGTACCTCCTAAGACACAGCACTGTCGAAAGCTGACACAGAAGGAAAGTAGGTCAAGTCCAACCAGCAAACTATTAACCGGTCGAGCAGACTCGGGACCGGCTCACCATTGATGCTGGGCGCTTCCTTCTTGGACCCGCGCACGTCCCACCGGTGGTGGAACAGCCAGTCGGAGGGGTACTTGTCGCTCACAGCATTGGCCGCGACCGCCGTCTCGAGCACCTGCGAATGATCAACGTGGTCAGAAGACTCGGCAGAATCTCTGCTCCATAGACAAGAGCGGACTCCAAATCTGCATAGAGACCCAAAAAAGTAGGGCGCATCCAGGAGTTCTTTGCTGCATTGCAGATTGACTAAAAGCTGATGACAAGAAGGGCCCCACTCCTCGACACATTTTGTATGTTCGGAACGAACCAAAAGGCAGCTGCTGAAATTTTGAACAGGCACGTCCACTTTCAATAGTTGAACGAGTCAACCACTCAACCGACCAGCTTCCGCTAGAAAGAACACAAAGGTTGTCACCCAAAACCAAGACCTCGACTTGACTCACAAAACTAAATATGATCAAGTCCAACATCACCAGATCCTCAACGCCAACTCACCATCTTGATGCTCTCGCGCAGCCGCCCGCTCGCCTCCTCGTCCAGCTCCGCCGCGAGACTCTCCGGGTGCACCCTCGCGTGGTACAGAACCTCGTCCGCGACCCAGTTCCCGATGCCCGCCAGAAAGCCCTGGTCCAGCAACACCGCTTTCACTGCGGCGCGGCGCTTCGTGAGCGCGGTGTGAAACGGCCCCGGGGCGGGGAGCTCGGTGAGCGCGTCGAAGCCGAGGTCGGCGATGGGCGACTGGAGGGTGACGTCATCGAGGTAGCGCACGCGCGCGAAGCGTCGCGCGTCGCAGAAGGCCAGCTCGACGCCGCCCTCGAAGGAGATGACCACCTGCCCGGGGGTGAAGGGGAAGTGACACGTGTCAGAACCGTATTGGGTGGAGCTTTGAGAGGGCTCTGGAACAGGCTAGTATAGCCGCGTAAAAAAGGAGACTTTGAAGCACGAGGAAAACAAGGCCAGGTCCGAAATGCGCCCCGTGCTTGAGAGTCCGTGGAAAGGGAGGTGGCAACCACTCTCTTGCTCAGACCTGAGAAGCCCCCTGGAAGATTTGCTGCCACCAGAAGAGGGACAAGTGTACAAACAAAAGCTGCACGACTTCAACTGGCATCAGGCCTCTCAACATCCAGAAGAAACTTGGCTGCTCATCGGATGCCCTTGGTCATCGTGAAAACTAAGAGAAGACATCCGAGGTAAGCCTATGGACCCGACTTACTGCTCTGTGCTCATCCAGATTTGACACCGACAGCTCCGAGATGACCCGGAATGTGCTTGATTATCTACTAGTATAAAAGTCCATCAAAACGTGGTCAATGGCACCGGGCACGGTTTGGCCAACCAGGTATTGATAGGCAGTTCCCTATCCTGTTGTTGTTCTCGAAGCAACCTGCGAGTACAATTGAGGGTCTCCTAAAATTCGAAGACCTTGATTCTTCAAGGAACAATAGCCAGGATTGTCTTGGTTACGAGCTCAGTTAGCAGGCTAGCCTTGATCTGAGTCGAGTCGAATGGCCAACCTCCGTGAGTCATGTTGAGATGGACACAGGATGGACCTCCGGACTCAATGAGAGAAATTCAATGAGATGGAATACGTTGCGAAAAGGGACAAGCTAAAAACGACGACACACTGTAGTCCGTCTAACGTAAGCCACCGTCCTTGACGATAGCAAACGAGGAATTATGTACCTAAAGGCTTTGGAGGCGGGAAAGGATTTGAAAAGCCCCAGAACAAGTACAACGACGGACCACGTTGCAAGAGCATGGCTCAGTCAGCCTGCATGAAGAACCAAATCCTTACAGGGCATCTGATGTATGGCCATACTCCTACTGGCGTCCAGCCACACAAGATTCAATATTCATTACCCTGACGAGCGCGGCAGCTTTTGTTAACTCAAAATATAGAGATGGAAAAATGAGGAGCAGCATAGAGCAAGAGCTCAAGAACACAGCGGTCAGCTTTCGAAAGGGGTCCCCGAGGTCCGCTCGCAGGATGCAAACCCGGGGTTCTTGAGACAACGATTCTAAAGTAGAAGCCAATACTCAACCTCTTCCTCAATCGGACTTTATCTGAAATGTGAAAACAAGAAAACAATCAAGGAATTGACGCCATGCAATCAGTTGGCTCCGATGCGAAACACTCTGCATGTTGGCCAAACTGTCCGTGTTACCAAGCATTCGCAGAACCATTATTGCAAAGCTTTTTGCTCACAAAAGCCGCTTGTGTCAACAAAAGTATCAATTTGTGCAGTCAGTACTTAGAAAGTACAAAACGGCTTCGCTTGGGCTATGCTGGATATTCTGATGGCCCAGATCGTCCATGGATTTTCGGAGACACAATCTGGAACTGGCAAACTTCCAAAAACATACAGATACAGACAGCGAGTTACAAAGCTTTTACATAAGGACATGGCAGCTAAAGCAAGTTGTAGGATAATTGCTGACAGGGGCCGCAAGGACTCAGATGCCTGCCAAGGTACAAGCAAGGGGAAGCGAAAGAGCACATCATCTCGATCTCAGAAGAAACCGAAGGAATCCCAACAGAAGCAGCGGCATAAACACTGAAGCTGCATTGGGGTCTTCAGAGCTGCCTAGCAGGAGACGCGGGCATAGCGAGCAAGCTTATAGAAAGGCGGATGTCGCACTGCCGTTTTGTCAGTGCCCAATCTCTAAGAAAGCCCAATATTCCAGATGGTTGTCCACTCCCATGTGGCATTGGATCAGCAGGTAGAGGGCTTGATGGGTTTGGCGCTGAAACTCGTTCTGCTATTATGGCAAATTCCTCTTGGGAAGGAAGGAACAAAGGAGTGGAAGGTCCCACAACTTAGGGCGCAGTTGAGAGCAGTCCGATCTCCGCAGTTGCTTCTAAAGGGACAAACAAGGTACAAAGTATTCATCCCAGTGAAACTTAGCAGCACTTTGAACACGAAACTGACATGAAGAAAAGTAAATGAAGGCCGTTCATTGGAAAGGTTTATCGAGTCACAATTAGCGAGCAGAATCAAGGCAAACGTCATGGGCTGAAGAGCCACTTATCTGAGGCGTCTACGGAGTATTGAAAATCTCAGTAATGTTCAAAGCTGGGCACCACGACAGAAGACATTCCAAACAATCGGTGCAATAAATTAGTACAGACATATTTTAGGCAGTGAAGTGAACCCGTAACAGCGGTTTCGGACAAGGTGAAAGGGGAGGATGACCTCTGTGGCCAAGCCCGAAAGTCGTCATCACCGCTGAAAGGTTGTCCATAGATTCAGCAAGCATTGCTAAGGGGTGATTGTCTCTCCGAAAAAAAGACATAGTTTCAACAGACTTTCACTATGCAAGCAGAACCATTACTCACCGCTCCCTCAACCCCCTCATTAAGCAAACCTTCACACTGTCCAGACAGAATATCAAGCCTCTGATCAGAATGTAGGTTAAACAAGACTCCTTCCCCCTAACCCACCTTGTGGAAGCGGGGCGGCCACTGCTCAGGGTCGCTCGCGCCGATCGACTTGTACTTGACGCTCTCGACGCCCTGTACCGCGAAGGACCCCGTCATCCCAAAGTGGAACGAAGGCCACGGCCCGTCGTCCGCCATCTCGAACCACAGCGACTTGCCCTTGCGCTGGACGGCCTTCACGGTGCGGCCCTCCAGCTCGCGCGCCAGCTCAGCAGGCTTCACATCCTGCAAAAACCGGTTTGTGGATTTGTTTGTTGGATAAAATCTGACTTCATCGTCTTGAAAGCCATCACCGCCAGCTGAAAAAACTTCCCTGCTTTAATAGCGGGTTTCAATTGACCCTAGCAGTCTTAAGAGAGGGTGTAGAGTCCATGCGCTGATCGGGTGGCCGTCCGTCTAATCTGGGGGTCTGGTAATTGAGTGGGTTGAGAATGCTGCCTTTCAGATCTTCAGCTGCAGAGTCATCCCATCAAATCCTGCAGATCCTTGCAGAATCATTTATTAAGTGAACTAACAACTCAGACCATTCCAGAGAGGGGACAAGGGAACGCCGTCCAGAAGCAATTTGAAGGGCCCCGGCCCTTTCAAGAAAACCTTTGGTGAACTATGGAACAGCCAGTGTTACACAACCAGAGCCACAACTGCAATGCAAATGTACATCTCTGGCGCTTCAGAAGCAACTTAAGGAACTGTGTATCTCAAGACTTCCCCGCATGAGATCCTCAGGTGATTTGATCTTTGTTCTTTTCCCCTCGTTTGTAACAACTGGTTTAAGAACTTCAGCAGATTGCAAACAACACGGAGGTTGCTTGCTTCTTTCTTGATAGCCAAGGCTTGACAGCATTTGAAAAGGCGTGCATCATGTACTGCCAGCAACCTGCATTTATCGATCTGCCAATTTCAGGATGAAGTGGACAGGGAAAGCAGCGCATTCAGCCACTTCATTATCAGATAGGAATGCAGATGAACCAGTCAATTACAAGCTCTGTACCAGTCACTGTAAGGACCAGAATATAACACCACACAACGCTGATAGGAAGCCTCAAAAGGTGGGCAATTGCCGTGAAAACGTTAATGCATGGAAGGAGACTGATTCTGTAGGATTGCGGAAACTCGCAGAATGTCATGCACTGGAAGAGATGCTCCTTCCTTGAACCAGCCACACTTTTCCCAGCCAAAAAGGTATGAGCAGCACAATCATTCTATCAAGGAACTACAACATGGTTGAAAGACTGAGAAAAGAACACAATGTAACGCCTGCAAATTGCAGAAATTAAAAGACTGTCAATCCCATGCCAAAGCAGATGCAACGACGCTGAAACATCTGATCAAAACCTGCACAGCAAGAATTACCAATCGATCCAATCGCTATTCCTTGCACCATCGGGCCGAGACGTTTCATTTGAAACGACAGCTTACCTGGATCACAGTCTCGTCGTCCTCGCAGACGACCTTGATGATCTTCTTCCCTGCACAGTGCTCATGGGCCAGCTTGCGAGCCGCCTCGACCTCTGGAAGCTCCGGCATGCTTGATCAATGCTGGACAAGGCTCTGGCTGAATGCCTACCGAAAGATTACCTGCCACTGAGCTATGAGGTTGCTCCACAGTCCCAGTGCAACAGCCAATTCACCCCTTACACAAAGCTGATCAGCTGTTCAAACCAAGAAGCAACGCCAGAAGCGCCAGGGCCATGCGCAGCGCCCTACTCAGGTCGCAATCCGCGCAAGCAGACTAGAGTCTAAGGACTTGGCAGAGGCCAGCTAGGCTGGAGTTCGAGCGGGCAGCCCCATCGCGAAAGGCGTCCGTTGAGACGACTCGACTAGCCCATCGAACGGTTCAGGCGTCTCAGGTGTCGTCCGCAAATCTCCGTTGAAGTTGGTGGCCTAATCAGTGCGGCAGCATGTGGGCAGCATGCTCCTTCATGACTTCAATGCATGCAACGCAGCGTTGCCCAAGTAGGGCCCGAGTGCACAATGATGCCGCAGGTGGGGAGCGAGTGCTCTTCAGCACTTCGGCTCACCGAAATGGATCAGCAAGGAAGCTCATGCATTCAGCCAGCTAGCTAGCTACGAATATGTACGGTATTGATGACTATAAGCACGCAGCAGGATGTTCAGCGTTCATATCATGTATGGCGCACCAACACCGTCATGAAGAGCGTGACTCTCTTGCTGCATAATGAAAATCTGGTCGAGTTCGTTCATGTCTCGGTCTTCAGTTCGTACATCGTTTGGCCTCCTCCGTGCAACCGATTCTAAAACGACTGTCGCCTCACTTTTAGCGTATCGGGCTAGGAGTGACTTTGAGAAATAAGAATGTTGCATCGAGAATCGTTCTCAGATATGAATTAGATCCCATTCCAAAATCCACTTATGATTGTGACCGCTTGTGAATTTCTTGTCGTAATCTCGAAACGACTTTACATGTTGACATGTTTTTCTTGATCGTGTCAGTGAGATTGGGCCAAATTAGTAGCTACACAGTGCGCACAGATCGGCCACATGCACAAAGGCCACGTGACTTCGAAGGGGCCGAACAGCTCATGGGGGCAATATTGAAACATGAATGGATGATGATCTATTGTAATGTACGTTGCCGATATCCGATCGATCTGGTCATTCAAGCTAAGCTTGGTAAAACATTGCCGCATACATTACCGTCCGAAAAGTTGTGCCACGTGCGGCCAGATTTGATGTGCTTGTCGTCTACCAATCAGCTCCGACAAGCATCTTACTACAGTCCCGACTACAGTGATCGTAACACAGTAGCTGGATAGACGTTGCAGTCGATCAGTAACTGAGTAAAGCACTAAAGCTGCATGGCGGTAGCGAAGATTCTTTTAAGTCGGTGGTCATTAGTTCAACTTCTATCATTATATTGTGACGCCACCAGATTCTCTCTTCTTGCAATCATTGCAATTGAGGGCCGCAGGGAGGTTGCTTCGTCCTGGTTGGTTCACCCAGGTGATCAACGACGACATGTACAAACGCGGATGGTTCGGAGGAAACGTCTTTTTTATGCCGTTGGTCACAACGACTAACAACCAGTCTTGCCCTGAGCGGGGGCAACCGCAGCTCTATACATGCAGCTAGGGGCATGCTACGTGTCAATTCACCAGGTAGGGGAAGGGTAGCATATGCACCCGTTTTATCTGAACAATCTGCGTGCATCAAATTCCTCCATCCGACACAAAGCGAGCTCCTTCTACTCGTGGCTAGTCGTTATGCTCCAAAGCTGCATGCCGGGGATCTACGACTCAGCTTTCATGTTGCTGCCTACGCAATGCACCACCGTTTTCTGAAAGTACTCCACCTAGCTTTTGACTGTACGATTCAACCTGATCCCCTACAGGGGCCTCATACGGGATTATGACATCATCAAAGTAAGGCCCTGCCGTTTAGAGGTGTCGACCTTCTTCGTGTGCACTGGAGGCGGCTTGTACGTTTTGGCGGTCACTTTCGACCTTAGCTGCTTTATCTGCGACATGTTGAGGCTGTGCAGAAACTCCGTAAGCGTCAGATCCTTGAGCGCATTCGTGTCCGAGTGTCCAAATATCTCCTCGAGTTGCTGAAAGTTGACAACAACAAGCGAAGAGGTCAGGCGAAGGAGAGGAGAATGATCGCAAGGTTGTCATCATATTGGATGAGATTCTTCGAGGCCTGGTTGGAAGGCTGTAAAGTTCGACTTGTTGACGGGCGTCCCTTTCGGACCAATCCATAGAAGCCGCGATATTATATGATAAGTGGTCGGATTCCCGTCACGGAAGCTCGCTGGTAAGCGGTTCGTTTGTTAGTTCCCGTTTTCTCTTCATCGTGTGGATTTTTTGCCCCCCCTCAAAAGTCAGCCACTTCGAAATGCCATCCGTAGAAGCTATTCGGCTTCAAAAGACTGGCCAACAGACAACCCGGAGAATCTTCGCCAGCAGATTAAGAAACTCGCTGTCCCGTTTCAGAACTTAGGAAACTTTCTCCTCGTTGCCGGAGGAGCGGAGAGGGTTCCTTAACCGGCGCTCATTCTACGCATCCTAGATGCGAAGGTTTTCAGGCTTCGACAATCTCTACATCGATCCGTTGGCAGAATGAGAAGGCAGACAGTTCGAACTCCGCTTTGCAAATGGCAGAGGAGAAATCTTTGCAAAATGTCGGTCTGACAAACCCTTTGTCCCAATAGTTTGTCTCATGTCTTTCTCTGTTCCACCCCCCGTGCTATGCAAAAAGCTCGAAGTTTCGCTCGTCCAAATGACGTTTTATAGAAACTATAAGCTACTGTACTACACATGAGTAACTTCGTCCTCGTGAATGCTGAAATTCCTGACCGATCGGCACATGAACTTTGAGAGGCTTCGTGCGAATCCGCTGGTCACAGTCAAACTTTCGAAACCCAAGTCTTCAAATCAGACCCAGAAAGCTGCTTACCGAGTCGAGAAGCGTCCTCCCGAACCTCATGTACAAAATCTGCATCGCCTCCTCAGCCGATACTGTTCCGCTGTCGTCCTTGTCGTTCATCATGAATTCCACGATGTTGTATAGTCGTCGAGGCTCGTATCCTGCGGAAGACCAGTCTGAATCTTTGAGATTGACCTTTTATAGCTCTCCTCTATCCTGGATGTTTCAAGGTCTCTCTTACAAAGTTTCAGCAACGATCCTTCCTACGCAGGTTTGGCATGACGCTTCGAGGTCTGGCTACGATGGCAAGCCAGCTTCTGCACGTCACAGAAAAAGGAAAAGTTCCTCAAGGGCTGCGTTTTGTAATCTCTCACAACCAAGTCAACAGCAAAGCTTACCTGTCTTATCGTGCCGGCATCTATGATACATCTGCTGGAACTCTGGCCACTTTACCGCCTTATCACAGTCCTCGTCCACCTCCCAAATCATATCGTCGATTTCCGCCTGCAAAAGTTTGCTCTTTGAGTAATGCAGACTTGATTCCGTCACAACCTAACAAGCCATCAGCTCACCTGACCATGCCAGTTTGTTGCTGTTTCTCTGACAGAATATACTGATTTGGATCCATTGTTGGATTGAAGCTTTCTTGCTGTCGGTCTCAAGAAAAGGTTTCAATCAAGATGCAAGCCTGAAAAACTTTCTCCGCAAGTCAAAAGTCAATGTTCTGTCCTCCAGATATGCTTCCCGAGCTCTTCTGGTATGGTAAAAATTACCAAACACGCTCGTGGCTTGGGGAACTTTACAAATTGCTAATACGTCAGTGCGTCGAATCACAAGCAATTGCCATGGGTGGCCCTTGTGTTCTAAGGTCACAAGGCCTGACTCTCTTGATCCTTACAGCAGAGCTACGAATATAACATGGCATCCTTGCTGGGCTCAGGCGGCTTGCACCTCCACTTTTGCTCGCTTACCCGTTTTGCCTTGTGTCCGAGCTTGTTGAACATTGCAGCAATCTCGTCTGCATCTATCTTCCCATCACCTTTGGAATCAAGTTTATCAAATGCCCTCCGCAAGTCATCCGCCTCGCTCTTCTTGGCGAAGCGTTCCTGCAGAAAGTCAGAAGATATCCACTGTGAACATTGAAAAGTCATTCAGCTTGTTAGAAAACTGAGTAGCAAAACTTATGCTGCCGGTCCAAATAGAAGGCAGTAGAAAAATATCTAAGAAAAGCTCTTAAGAAAAACCCCTACTTGAAGAATTACCAGGGGAATTTTCAAATGGCTACAGAATGCAGTGGCCCTGAAAGTCCGCACAACCAGTAAACTCACGCAGGAAGCAATGCTGACAGCATTTCATGAATCCTTACTCGGGCTGCTTGAGACATTGTGGCCCCACTCCCTTCTCTCTGTTGCTTCTTGCAAGGGGACCGCTACTGGACCTCACTTTCAAGCGCCTACAATGCAGATCACAGGCAGATTGCTGCCAGCACGAGAATTTCACAAGAGTATGCCTGCCCGTGTGCTGATATGAAAGATTGACCTGATATGTAGCCTGACTTATTTTGGCTCAGGGGATGCAAGGGGCACTTCCATACCTGCCCAAAAGAAAGCAAATGGACCATTCAGAAGGGGATGATGGATCAGGAGAGACGAAGAGCGATCGCAATCATCTGACGAGATTCTGCAATCTCATTGCAGATACTTCTGCCACTGGCCCCTTTTGATGCGTCTGCTTTACTTTGACTCCCTTTCTTGACGAGTCAACCGCCCTACTTCCGGCCCTCTTAATACTCACTTTTCAAAAATGATCAAGCAGCCATTGCATAAATCTGCATAAATCATTGTCCAGACTACGGTCGCTACTGTAGATTCATCGACTGCGAGCAAGGCCGCCGGCTCTGGCAAGTGAAACTACTACCCGCGCGCGTGAAAACCCGTGGCGAATTGTTCTGGTACACGTGGCGCCCGCAAAGGCATCGGGATTGACCTCGGGCCTCATTGGATGAAAGGGTGTGAATACAGCTTCAACCTAAAGCATTCTCCTCGGGTGAATGCTTCAAAACCTCCCGGGGAATCCACTGAGGTCGGGATATATCATCATATACATTGTCCCCAGGCAATGATGTCCCGGGCATCCTCTGCAGAGCGATGGTACAGTCAGCATTCATGAGAGGTCCATTCACACTATGCATACAAGTTAGGTACGAAGGGCAGAGCAATGGTGGCCTAGCGGTGAGCTGCAGGAGTGCATTGCAGACACGGCCCAAACTCTTCAACCTGGGGCGCCAAGCACGCTCTTCCTCGCACAAGGTCTACCGTAGTATCCTGCTCTAGGATAACGCAGCAGCCATCGGAGTAGTCTCTTGCCTTTTATGTTTGGGATTGATCTTAGACTGGCCGCTCATTCCTGGTTTCTGCAACGAGCGACAGCGATGCCTTAGCAAGTCGGATCTTGTTTCCAGCTGAAAAGATGGCTGCATTGCTCCGCAGTCCTTTGGGAGTGCCGCAGGCCAATCCGGGCGCATTCTCATCCAGTTGTGCACTTAGACCACACCATATAGCAGCCTGTTCATTCCCTGCAATCCCCATTCGCTCCCGGCGCAGTCTTGCGCCTAGTTGCCTCAAGCCCCCTCAAGCGCTCCCCAATAACCCTGCATTCCTGCATGCAGGCCCGCCTGTGCTCAGCAGCTCACACAGTCTTTGTCTTGGATTGCCGTCCCTCCGTCAGCAAAAGCGCATAGCCCCCCCTCACAATGCCCGGTACAGATTGGTTGCTGCATACGAGGCCGAAAAACCGCCCCCTGCGGAGCAAAAGCGGCCCACGGTCGTGAACCTGCCTAAAGCAATATGGATGCAGCTGACGCAGCCGCTGCGCAACTTTGGCTACGGCCGGCGCAGCATGTGGGAGGGCGGCGTCGGCCTCTTCATCATGGTCGGGGCGGGTTTGCTCATGCTTGTCTTTGCGTGGATAAAAGGCCAGCAAGTCCGCTCACGCTCGCACAAGTACACGGCGGTGGTTGAGTTTCAACAAGCGTGCGGGATCACGGTTGGGACTCCTGTGAGGATCCGGGGGGTGGACGTCGGTCAGGCCGTAAAGGTGAAGCCGTCGCTGGCGGCAATTGACGTGGTTGTCGAGTTGCAAGACCAGGCGGTCGTCATTCCTCGCAATGCGCTGGTAGAAGTGAATCAAAGCGGTCTGATCAGCGAGACGCTGATTGACATCACGCCGCGGCATCCGATCCCCGCGCCAAAGTACGGGCCGCTCGACGCGGGGTGCGATGAGGAGGGGCTGATCGTGTGCGACCGGCATAAGATCAAGGGCGAGCAGGGCGTGAGTCTGGACGAGCTCGTGGGGGTCTGCACGAAGATTGCAAAGCAGATGGACGCGCAGGGGATTGACAAAATGTTTGAGACGGCGGCCGCGGTGAAGCAGGCGCTTGCAGATACGAGGCCCCTTTTACTGCAGGTAAACAAGACTCTCACTTTCTGTTTATTTTGTTGCAGCTGCTTCATTTGTCTCCTCCAGAACAGGAAGGAGAGGGAGGAAATTGCAATGCATTTGAAGCAAGTTAAAGAATGCCTGAGATTGATTAGCATGGTTTTCTACACGGCAATTGAAGGAACCTTGGCTGCACTTAAGGTAGGAGAGAGGTCACGCATTCCGGGATGTTGCCGTGACTCGGACACAGCAGGAGATGTTGCCGCAAGATCCTAGGACTTTGTTTGTCCGCTGAGGAGCTTCTAATCAGCCTCATTGAAGCTAGGGTCCGCATTCTTGGTGTCAACGAGAAGCCAGGCTGGTGATAACGACAGCGCGCACGCTGCATAGTAGTCCATACGAGGCGGGTGCAAACGCATCATGATCTGGCAATTTGCAGCGCCTCTTTGCGGGTGTGCTTGCGATCCTGTTGCAATTGCAACAGAACTTTATGCTTCGTAACATGGGATTCAATGACCGCTTATTCAGCTGGTTTGAGTTCGTCACGCTGAAAGTACAGCGCAACAATGTATAGATCCAGTGTCTGCCGCTCCATTCTGGTACATTGTACCTGTGTCTTAGGTTCGCGCTGTGATCGCCTGGCAGGCAGGCAAGGTTGTGCAGACACTTTGCCCCATTTCTGTATCCTGATCTCCTCAGCGGCCCCAAACTTTGCTAATTCTAAGAGTCTGCCTGCACATTGGGGCGCAGGTTGACAAAATGGCGGAGGACGTTGGGCCCCTCCTGAAAGAGGTGCGAGAGGGCAAGTCGGTGACTGCGCTGCAGAACCTGATGGTGGTCGCGACATCGTTGTCCCAAGACATCAGGTGAGGGCCAGTTGCGCGTTACTCAGAGGAGAGATATCAGGGGCCTGGTTGGGAGACTTGTTTGTCATAACATCACACCCTGAACGACTTTTGTTCTTTCAAAAACGTGACTACAGATTATTCTCTGCAGCTGGCCCGGTGCTTCTTAGATTCACCACAAAGAGCAAAGAAGAGTGACTTCTTAGAACTATCATGATTGGGAGGGATTCGAAATCTGCAAAGGAGAAGGCTACAAGTTAGAGTCTGCCTCCGAGTCGTCAGATTGCTGGCGCTACCAACTTGCCACGTGGCACTTTCAATTTGGGGTCAGTATGTCGTCTGGCATCTGCTTGAAGTCTGCTGACCTCGCAGTTCATTTTCCAGAAGTCTCACTTTCAGGTACTTGAGATTCTTCCCTCAGGTTCTGATCCGAATGCAACACAACCGCGCGAATCGTGCTTTGCTATTTCGTCAAGAAAATCAGCTCGAAAAACTTGTGATGAGTACAATTGAATGATCATCTTTGATTTACGTGTCAGAAGGGAGCGACCTTTTGGTACCAATAGGTGCGAGTGGTAATCTCGTGAGAGGGGATTACGTCAGCTGTTTCTTCAGATCTGATTGGGGTACTCGCTGATCCAACACGCTCCACTTGCTTTCTTTGTTTAGGAGAATGAACAACGCGGTGCTGACAGACGGCAACCTTGCGCACCTAAGAGACTCGGTCAAGGACTTGACAGGCACGCTGAAGAACATCGAGGTGAGGCTCTTGCCTTCAATAACTGCAATCGTCCTAGAGACCCAGATCGTTAGCAATCTTCTCAGAAGGTTCGTTCGCAGGTCGTGTATCAGGCACAACAGACTGGGCCGAAGTCGGCCACAAGGTCATCACTTCCCGATTAAAACTCATTGCTGATACGGTAAATCGTAATAAAGCAAACCTGGCTACTTAGGACGTAGCTGTTACAAGTACCTGAGTCACTTGAGCCAGGAGTGACGGTTCGCGTGACTGAAGCCCTCGACTCCTTTCCGGCTTTGCAGACCATCAGCCAGGATCTGAGTGGCTTCCTGGGCGATCCGGTGACTAAGTACAACTTGAAACAGGTTATCGAGACCCTTGGCAGGCTTGTGGAGGATTGACATAGACCTTCAACAGAATCCATAGCAGGTCCTTAGGATGTCAAAACAATAGGGAACGTTCGATTGCAGCTTGTCTAGCTTTGCGGGAGTGTAGCAGCCAGGATTATCCATTTATGGGAGGCCGCTTCGACGGGGCCTGGATTAGCACCAGAGACAAAGAGGTTGCTACGAGTAGACCTGTGCTTGATTCTGGCCAAATAAAGAGCTTGCCTTTTGTTTCTGATAGACCTTTCGTTGAACCAGTGTTCGACGAGCTTGCAAACGTCTGCAAGTGTTGGCACGTAGTCAGCTTATGATCGAGCTAGTTTGCACGTGTTGCTTCGTCACAAGGTACTACTGAGCATCATTATTGCAGTCAGCTCACCTCTTCATCTGGAGTATGAATGACGGGCCTGGGAAGCTTTGAAGTAGCGGGCACTCAGGTGAGCACAAATGACCCTAGAAAGATGGCGCCTGCAAATTGTTTGACAACGAGTCAGGCAATGATCAATGCAGAAGGCCGCTAAGCCATACTATGATAGGCTATACTAAGCAGGCTCAGTCGCTGTCCTTCATGTACTGTTCGTTCCAAGCCCTGGGATGCTCCGAAGCTGTACTAGCTCGTTTATATGGGAATGATGCATCATAATGTGGCATGCATCATGTGCATGGTTGCACGCCAGCTTCAACAAATGCGACCTTTGCAACGTACCGATATAAACCGTGGTACATGATCGAGTCTGCATGATATCGATATGGCATGTATGCACATGTTCGAACTAGCTATATATCATTACTCGAGGCGCAGTATAGCTATAGCCGTTATCTCCGACCATGTGTGTAATATTATAAACTAAGGCTGCACTCGACGCGTGGTTGTGAAAGTATGCCACGCGGTGGGGGCCCTCAGATATGCTACATGCAGTACGTAGTATCCCGTATAAACCTTTAGGAATTTCAGAATGTCAAGAACCGTCATCCGCGCAATCGATCCTCCATGCCAAATTTCGTCATTAAGGTCGATATGGACGATTTATTATACGCAAATACCGTAAATCGATTGACTCGGACAATACATTATAATGATAAGCATGGAAGACGGAACAAGTGTCTGACTTGTCCTTCAGACGGAATCATTCTTGCTATCTTGAGGACCGCAAGTGGTGAGAATGCTTCCGGCTCTGCCATTCGTATTGAGGTTAGGCCAGCATGACCGACGCCGTGGAGCTCTGTCCAGGAGAAAGGGGCATTCCTGGCAGGCCGCCTAGCCTGCAATATATAAGATACTGCGGGCCCTGACCTCTGAGTCCGGAACGGGCGTCTCTAGAGAGCCTATGCCACCCAGGCGGCGCCCGGATGGCTAGCAATGACGCGGGTCAGCGCCCTTAGGCATGGATGTCTAAAGCTAAACGACCCGAGTCAATGAAGCCGAAAAACGACAAGCGCTCATCGTGATTGCAAAATTAAGGCCGGACGAGTCTCAACAACTTATGCAGCAGGCTGGCATGCCTGCCTTCACAGTGGTTGGCCGGTGAGCTGAACCTGTCTCTACGTTCGTTCTTACTGCGGGGACAACCGAACATCCTGACAACTTCCTTTACTCACTACAGACTGTGTGACCGCTCATTGTCTCGTCATCGACCAGCCTCCGTGCAAAACGTCCCCCAGCAAAGCATTTGGGGTTAGCTGAACCTCAGTCAATTATGGAAAGCCCCCGTGCGCTCTACTTGGGCAGGAACGGCTCCCACCACTTGTCCTCGTACTTTGAGTACGGGGCGGTCCAGGGCTCTGGTCGCTTGAAGTCGGCCTTTGGCGTCTCTCCTTTCAAGGCTTCCGCAGCGTTTGCAGACGCTTCGAACTCCCCCTTCAACACGCGGTCGAGTCGCAGCTTCATGAACCTGCGGTACAGGAAAGAAATTGCTCAAAGCAAGAACCTATTTTCAACGCTTGACACGTAACTTCATTCTTTATCACGAGATGCTAGTCGACATCAACGAACAGGTAGGAGGTAATGGGTGAGGACTGGGGGGAGGACAGAAGGAGAACAAATATCAGAGGGTAAGCCGGACAGGCAGGTCGAAGCAGAGCCAAAGCTCCTGGACTCCGTCAAGCTGATTGTGCCTTTCAGAGTCATGGAAGATTAAGGGATAGCAGAAACCTTGTCAGTATTCTTGGACAAAATGACAAATGTTTCAGTTAAAGGATGGTCAAAGGCGACGTCCAGTCACGACATGGGACTTGGTCCAACCTGAAGACGATCGAGCTTGTCCAAAATAGGAAGCCTGCGGAAGACATGAAAAGATCCTTTCCTTGCTCAAACCATGTACATAAACAGCGAGTGCCGGTAGACCTGTAACGCTTCTTCGGACAAAACCTTCTCATTATTCCCCCAAGGTAATCTACCCGAACTACGTCCTGGCTGGCCCGCACCAGCATGTATTTCAGCTGATCTGACCATATGCAGTCTTACATCCAAAATAAACACGCAAAAGGAATCGATTTTGCAGAACGGACGGCAACCTAGAAAATTCACATACCGTCAGATGAACCGAACTGAACCTGACAAGGCGGACCAGAACAAGGGGCCGCAATGGCAAAGAGGTTCAGTTTGACTTCACCAAGTTGGGCGCTTCCGAAACGCTCAAGGAAAGAACAGACTGGGAATGTTCAGGGTGCCACCATCAAGACGAGTTTTACAGAGTAAGTCGAGTCAGCCGGCACCACACGAACCAACTGCAAATCTCAAGCAAACCAGTCAATTCAAACCAGTAGTGAAAGGCATTGCGTTGGTAGCATCTGTCAAATCCATTCAACCATACAATATTCAAGACGGGCCTCTGCAAAGGACCTTCAGCACCTCGCGAAGTCACATAACCAACACATCGGCTTCCTGTCTAGAACACCCAGAACCAAGGATGAGTGGCACATTCGAGATGCATACCGACAGTCAACGGACGATCGAAATGCAGATTTCCGGTCGGTATGGAAGCGCAAGCCTCTGCTGGCTTTCTAGACCGACTCATAAGAAGGAAGTTCTCACATCTGATAAGGTGAACGGACAGCTAAGAACGAGATCAGACAGCTAAGCAGGTTGGTTCTCCAAATACGACAACAAACCGCTCACGTGATCCAGGTGGCGTCCCTCGAGACGAGCGCGACGGCCGGGCGCCCGAGGCGCTTTGTGATGTCGGGGAAGTTCTGGAGGAACTCGGGCTCGTAGACAATCCAGAAGTCGAGCTCCCGGTTCTGCTCCTCGTAGTAGCGAAGCCGCTCCTTCATCAGCTCCACGAAGTGCTCCTCCTCCCACAGCATGAACTTGGCGTTGGCCACAACGAAGGAGTATTTGACCTGCAGAAAATTGATCGACTCGTTGGCCACAGCGAAGGGGTATTTGACCTGATTAAATTTGATGGAGTTTATGTTTCTCTCGTCACTGCAAGTGAGAACTTCGGCAGCCCCAAAGAGTGCTTCTCCTACAAAAGCCTGAAGTTGATGTCGGCCAAAACGAATGTGTAATTGACCTGACACAATATGGTGAATCCAGGACTCTCTAAGCTGGGTGCAAGTGGGAAAATGGTGTGCTATGCGCATTGCCACATGACCGGAGCAACCTGTCAAAAAGGGAACAAATAGTCGACCAAAGAAGTTTGACGCTTTGAGAACAGGTGGAACGCTCAATTCTGATCACTGCGCGGATGTGCTGAATGAAACGTGCTTTAGCGACAAAGACCAAATTGATTCAACCAGAGAAAGAGACGGATTCCGAGTCACGCTACAAAGGATCACTGAAGCAGAACGGGACAGTCATATTCGAGTTTAACATGAACCAGAAGTGGCAACAACAAACAGGTGGTTGTGCCTCTAAACAAGAGGAGTCCAGAAAGCTGTGATTGACTGAGACTGGACTAACTAGAGCTGCATCACAGAACCGGGCAATCCCAGCGATTTCCAACCTGCAGATGGTGAAAATCTAAGCAACTAGTGAAGTCAACAATCGCACAATGTACACTCGATTAGAAGCTCAGGAGGAAGAGTCTGGCAAGGAGAATTGTTTTGGGAGCCAAAGGTTTATGTGGAAAGGTATCTAATCCTGTCAACAGTGGAAAAGTTGAAGCCATGCAGATATTCCCGCAGCGTAAAGAAAAGGTTGGTGAAGCAGAAACTTTGTCAAGAACAAGGATTTCATAAGAAGGGAGGTGTGGCTTGTAAGAAACTTCCTGGCGGAAGACGTGTTTGAGCGGAAGACATGTTCGATAGGAAGGAACCTGAAGAAGGAAGGGACCTGACGAAGGCTGGGTTCAAGGAAGAAAAGCCACCTGGAAGGAGTTATCCGCTTCCGATACTGTGTGGTAAAACCCAGAGGACAAGTCTGATGAAAAGGGTGGGCAATATGAGTTGTAATTTTGCCAGCAACAGGGAACATAACTGAGGTACATTCTAAAGAAGAAGATCTGCATCAATGTTTGGTGGACATCAAGTGAACAATCCTTTGCAAATAAGCAAGCTACTTGTGCCATGGGAAATAAAAATGGTAAACTTTCTAGAAAGCTGGTTGAATATCAAAACCAGCGCCAAGTCTGTCACCGTTTTGGCATGCCGATCTTTGGTGACAGAGTACAAATCAGTTTGCTTGAAGACTTGCATTTGCCGCATGAGGGCAGCACTTATGCCTGATAAGAAGCAAGCTAACAATGCCCTAGGGGTGCCACTCAGGAGCATCCATCAGAATCGGTTTTACAGCGTGCAGCTGATATTGGCATGACTATTACGAGGGGGGTGATCTTTTGTCAATCAGTGCTTCAACATTTGGGTGACACATTTTGACGGATATGCCGGGTGTTCAAGTGGTGCCTTGGCAGAAAACAGACCACATTCACAACGACTTAGCATTTGACAAATTCAAGACAGCTCGAATATTCAAGCGGCTGCTGACCTGAGAGACTCGTGTCACCCCCTTGCAAACCCTAATGCTACCATTGATACAGCATTGCTAGCATCTGGTTTGCATGATGCTGACAACAATGAAGACAAAATGCAGGTCCTGGACCGCTCTGACCACCAGCGGTTGAGTTGGTGATCAACAAACCAGGTATGAGCACCGGAGAACCAGAGGGATGCACATTCAAAAATGAAGTGGTCTTCAAGCACCTGTCCAACTCCCATGGATGCTATGAATTATAAATCTGCCACCACCACATTGTCAAACCGCTCCTAATGGCGCCACAGGTGGCATTAGGGTGGCGCCTCAAAGGTTTCCAGGTGCTGCAGGGATTGTGGCAGCACAAGAGAGGAGACACCAGAAAAGTAGGACAACGTTGACTGTGAGGAGAATGGTTAGGAGCCCTCACGAAAATCTTTGAGGGTTTCCTACTGTCACACTGGTTTGCAACGACCATCGAGCAATGTCAAGGTGTCTCTCTTGTGGCATTGGTAATGATATACTGAAATTGAGTCCATGACAAGCGTCACGGACCGCGGCGAAGCAACTGCAGACTCGTTTGATTCAATTCTTTTCCAATCCCCGATGACTAACCAGAGCCGCAAAGCAAACTTCTTCTACCGAGCAACCCACCTTGTCGCCAGTGGCCGTTTCACTCTCCGCGCTCTTTACATCTTGCGCAGCGACAGCTCTGCAAACATCCCTCCGAGTGCGATGGACTGGCCCCACAGGTCTACCCGCTGAAAGAGCCGACTTTTCGCCAATGATTGAGTTGTTCAGAAGGTTTGCTGTTGAGGGCTTTGCCCCCATGTAAACCGCACGGTGTTGTTGGCATTGCTCCCACTTCTTTGAAAGTGCGCTATCCTGAGAAGCCGCAAAAGCGGCCCTCCCGCTAGTGGCTACTTTGATAGCTCCGGCAAGCGCCATTTAGGCCGCCCTCCAAGTCTATTTCGAGACGCAGCAATGCCCTCTGAGAATGGAATGTATGGCGGGCCCTGCTTTTCAGACGTTACAGACGTTACAGAACTTCAAAACCAAACCAGATTGCTCCCCAGCTTCTGCGCCCTTCCCCCTGTGCTCTCCTTTCTCCAGGCTCTACTAGCTCCTCTGCTAGTCCTACGACTCCTGGACTCATGACTGGGCCTTCCTCTTCCTCCTCCCTCTTCGGTATCTAAGTACTGCTCTCTCGTGCCAAGTCCCTGGGCCTAAGCGAGCTTCAGGGGTTTCTCAAGCGTCAGATGCGCCACTCTGGAAGAACGGACGGCGGTCAGAAGACCTTTGATCCTCCTCCAGATTCTCTGACGTCACCTATAAAGTACAGTGTGACGTGGCAAGTATAGGCCCTCGATGCAGAACTTTTGCACTCTCAACACTCGTCGACCACACAAGCTAATAAAGTTCTAACTTTGTACCGAGAGGGTTCGAGTACATAACCTCATAATAGATATTCGCGAACCTAGTTGCACTTGGGAGAGGAAGATGATGGCGTAGCAAATACAGCAGGCTCCGACAACGACTCCGAGTCCCTAGCTGTACACGAAGCCCAGGCATTTCTACAGCCTACAGGGAGCCCACGAGAAAGCGCAAGCATTTCGAAATCTTGTCATTCCTTACTTAATCCGGCGCTTGTCAGCTGCTAAGCATCTTGGCTAGTGCAAGGAGAGGTGCAAAGAAGGAACGATTCTGTCAGGCAAAAGGTCGATATGTCAGGCGCCCTAGCGGGCAGGGGCCTCAGGTGCGCGGGCACCCTGCGAAGCAACCTAGGTGCAGCATCTGCTGCACGGGCTTATCATAAGAACGTGGTAGATCACTACAACAAGCCGAGGAACGTCGGGTCATTTGATAAGAACGACACCAATGTCGGGACGGGTCTGGTCGGGGCTCCAGCTTGCGGTGATGTCATGAAGCTGCAGATAAGGGTTAATGAGAACGGGGAGATCATAGACTCGTGCTTCAAGACTTTCGGGTGTGGCTCAGCAATTGCGTCGTCCTCTGTGGGTAAGTGGGCTCACAACATTACTTAGTGGCGCAGCTATTTCCTTGGAAGTATATCAGTTTGCAACAGCACTTGTAGGAAAATCTTTCTGGGTAGCTTGTGTCTTTTAAGGAGAGGTTGAAAGGGAAGTGTTTCGGATGGACAGAACCTATTCCATGCTCTATTTTCATGGTCCTTGGTCGGGCAACCTTTATCATCGGGCTTTAAAGACAGGCTTGGCCCGTTGCTGTTAAGGTTTGGGCTTACCCGGACTTTTCTTCGTGCATGGTGCAATGCTGCTTAAGTGAGGAATTGTGAAGATGTGCCACAAGCTCCGCACCGCAAGGTTGTGCATGGGTTTGTGGCAGGCCACGCTCTGTTTTCCCATCATTCTGCGGTCAAAAGGACTGCTGCGTCAGCTTTATCTGGTCATATTTCTGAATGACTTGCTGCAGAAAGTATTGATTAGCTTAGCACAACCTCTTAATGGATTCGTTGCTTTACGCCTGCAGCAACCGAGTGGATCAAAGGGAAGGCTATGGATGAGGCGCTGAAGATCAAGAACACGTGAGATATATTTTCCCCCTGAACTTTACCCTACTTACGATGCAATCGCTTTCTGCGCTGCTCTGCGGTTGCATGTTGCAGGATTGTTGCAAGCCTTCTAAGCGATCTTATCAGATGCAACAGAAGCGCGTTCTGCCCCTCCGCCCTGATGACTTTGGGCATGTTGCGTGCTTCGATTGAGAAAAGGAGGATTCATTTTCGGCCACCCCGCTGCCTGGTTGGCAGGGCTTTGGAAAGGGTTGATGTGGTGCCCCTTCTTTTTGCGTCGGCCATGTGAGAGAAAAAAAGATAACCGTTCAAAACAAGTTTCACAGTACATATCAAGGGATCAGACCGCTTGACCAAGTGAGAGATCTGAGATTCCGAGTTGCTTCTCTTGGTGAGGCGTAGAATCGACTTTCCTTGTCCCTGCTCTGTCAGCTTGGCCGATAAGTAGGTTGCCATGCCACGAACCGCAAGTCGGAGCTCATCATAATACTGTTTTGGTGAAGAGAAGCACTAGCCAAATATGTATCGAGTGTCGCTTCGTGCATGCTGGCCGCACCTGACTTCATATGTTGCTTCCCTGCAGCGAGATTGCAAAGCACCTCGTGCTCCCGCCTGTCAAGCTTCACTGCAGCATGCTTGCGGAAGATGCAATCAAGGCGGCGATTGCGGATATCAAAGCAAAGCGGCAAAAGGCAAACCCAGCAGCAGATACACAGGAGGAGCAATTACAAGCAGCAGCCGCTTGAAGCAAGCCGTGGAAGCTTTCAGGTCCTCTGTCATGCACGCAGGTCTTAGCACATAGGTGTCAAAAAGTCTGTACAGAATTCTGGTAAATTTGGATGTTCGTCTAAGATTTTCTTGTTCGGTGCAGAGCCATCGATAAGGGCTTTAGAAAATAAAACGGTCTCAAGACAAAGTTATATTTCCGTTTTTGATCTGTTAAATGGTCAAGAAGCTTCAAAAGCCTCGGACAGTTAGTTGACCTGTTCCTCTGGACGCGCTTTCGGTATGGGCGACAGGCCTGGTCATGTGGATTTGAAGTTACGCATACCAGTACCTGGATAGAGTTGCCAAGCATGGTTCTATTTTTCCCGTATTGCCACTAAGCTTGGCTATCGCGCAATATGGATACTTCTGAATAGGATGATGCACATGACGAGGCATGGGGCTAATTTTGCATGATCCGCAACATATTCCCGGTCCACACCCTGGGGACACAAACAGCGATGCAAGGAACTGTATATATCGTGATTTAGAATTGTGCGGGGCACATGTGGTGGATCGGGAACGGGAACGATTAAGCACGTTGGATGAGTCATGTGGTCACGGGTCACCAACAGTCACTCTGCATGGCCGCATGATATTGAGAAACCAGCTAGAGCTGGTGGCTGCAGCTCAGTAGAGGACGCGTCTGTGAGAGCCAGGCATCGTGTCAAAACATGTCTGCAGGGGCGTCCGGAACTCCGAAAATAAAACCGGCCTCCAGCCCTCCCCCCTCCAATTAGAATGCCCGATTTTACCTAGGGGTAAAATTGCCCCTAGATGTTGCTCCCACCAGCCTCCAGCCCCCCCCCGGCGAGGGCCAATTTTCGGAGTTCCGGACGCCCTTGCACACATGTGTTCTGACACGATGCCCTTGGCAACTTACTATGCAATTTGGGATTTCGCAATTATATGACGGTGCGTATGTTAGTATATGTATATGCAGCGCTCAACACTGGAATGCAAGCAACCTAGGCGGCTGCAAGCTCTGAGAAATGTGTGGTTGCGTGCACACGTTACATTATGCTTTTGAACCTGCCATGTTTTTTGAGTTCGTGTGTGTGGCATACATATAGATATTGTAGATGCAATCATTGGTGGCGATCAGATGTGGAGACAGGATAGCTTGTTTTAAAATGTTCGGAGATAAAGAGCCATAAGCATCCAAAGATTGCGCGCTTCACTGCGCATACTAGAGAGACCTGATTTACCACATGGCTGGAACCATGGACATTGGCAGCTGTCCCTTTGACCACACTCGATCTACGCAGCAAGCTATCACTAGCCTGGAAACAATAAGGTTGCAATCCAGCTTGGAAACTTCTGTGTTCAACGAGCTAAGCAATACTAGGCTTCTAGCAAACACGAGACCCTCTATAAGAAGCGTAGTTGAGCAAAGCTTTTGGCGTACTTATTCGACTTCAATAATGACAATATATAGAGCATTATCTGCTCCGACTCTCTCGACCGCGTCTTTATACAAAAAAAATAGCGCCCCCCCTACTTCCCCATCCCTATCCCTAAGCTGTACAGTATCTGCTCCGATTTGCAGCGAAGCAGTGAAGAAAACGAAAACCGCTCCTTAGGCTTCTCTACAGGATCCCGAGGCGGTGACCCCATGATTGGAGTGCCGGAAACTTGCAAGATGGTATGTCCAATCTCTCGTCGCATCTTGTCCACAAGCTCCATGTCGACCTGGCCCCCCGAAGCACTCGTAACATAGAACACGTTTACCGCCTTTTCCCCCCTAGTCGTCACATCCGCGCGGGTTACCGTCAAACCCGCCTCCCTGAATACCCTAGTTACATCGGACAGAAGCCCGACCCTGTCGCTGGTACACAATTCCAGCCTCAACCCCTGACAAAACAGCAACAAAACAATAAGCAAGTAGCCTCTTTAGCGTGCTGAACTCGGAACTGGACAGTTGCTGATGTGATGCTGGCGTTGAAAGACCACAAATTGAACACTATGCTAGTGACAATGCTACCAACATTGTCCCTTTCTGTAAGCCTAGGGGCTGGACCTAGAGCGGCAAGCTAACAACGTTCTCCAACGCATAGCATTGGCGAAAGTGCACAGAAGAGATTCTCCCAAACTCCTCTGCAGAAGGAAAACATGTGGCCCTTACCTCTGGGACCCTCCTTTCGATTGCTGCTTCCACGCACTTGATGACACGCTGCCGCTCGGCCTCGGAATCCAAGGTGCATCCATCCATGTGGCGAACATAGTACTCCTGGGAAAAACGGAGGGGACCAATAAATATCAGAATCTCACTCCTGTGCAAAGTCCATTTGCAGGGGGGAAAGAGGTTTTCCCACAATTGTACAAAGCATCTTGTGGGGCTGACAGCGGCTGCAGCACAGCAGTCTTACGGAACCGCATCAGACCGAAAGGTTCCTAAAATCTATGGCACCATCTGCAGCAAAGCGAATCTTCATGCAGCATAGATGCTGCAACTAGTATCCATTCTGAATGCACAACTTCTGATCAGACCCAGACGCAGTCAAACACAACAAACTGCACCGGCTCCTTACCTGGAATGCCATACCGTCAGTCGAGTCAATTGTCGCGTGGAAGACCACATACTGCATGTCTGTCAGCGTGCACACCGTGTCAAACAGCAGCTTCGGACGGTCTGGCGTCCGGATCACAATCACTGAGTACCCCGTGTCCACACAATTTCTGATGCTGATTCCAGGGGGTCCTTCCCGCCCATCCCGCACCCCCCCTTCCTTGAGAGCCATCGCCTCCCGCCGCCGCAGCCTCGCAAAGGGGTCCTTTACTTCATAGTCCCTATCAGCGAAGAGCATCTGGTGCAGCCGCCGCTCAGTGTGCGTCGCCGAGACCGAAAATTCAGTCGCGGTCGTCGTCTTCCCGTCATCCGGCCGCATCACCCCCGCCAGCAGCTCCTTCACCCGCTCTAGTTTGCCCCGGTCAGCGATCGGCCCCTTGGTCGTCTCATCAGTGACATAGACCACGCACGCGACCCGCAGGTTGTGTGTCCACACCGCTGCAGCAGACACATTGCACCGCAGAGTGGCCAGCACCGCAGAGATTTCAGAGAGCAGGCCCGGGCGATCCACTCCCGTGAGCTCGATCGCCGTGTGCTCCTCAATGTCCTGGAGGCCGATAGGCTTGCCAGTGCACGTTTGTAGCTGCACCCGTTGATTTGAGGGGCCCTTGGCACCAAGCTCCTGCATGACCGAGAGACTTGTCAGATTCCAGGTGCATTGAATAATTGCATCAGTCTTGAAAAGAAACTGCTGCATCTTGCATTTCCCTTGGGCTCTACCTAAACATTTGCCTACATAGATCAGCCAAACTCTTGGGAGAAGGTAAATCTAACCACTGCTCCACCCAACTAGCTGTACATCTTTTGAGATGCAGCTGCTACCCCTCCAACATTTGCAACTAGATGCATGGCATTTCGTAACAGCCTCCTACTCCAGACAGAGCAAATAGATGTGGATCCACAAAACTCCCATCCACCTTGCTCATCAATGCAGCCATGGGTGCAACCTCACCTCCTGAATGTAGGTGATAAGGCCCTGATCGTTAACCTTCTTTCCGAACTGATCCACCACATGGAACACTGCAAGAAACATGCTATTTGGGTTAACAAGGTGCTGCCTGACAAGGAAAATCAGAGCCCGTAAAAGTGAATTCCACGATGCATGCCAGTTGGCAGACACAACGATGGAGTGCTGCTCAGTGTACCCTTCAACTGCACTGTTTCCTGAAGCAGGCACTTTGAGAATCTCCTTGTAATGCCTTGGAAGGCAAACTTACCATCAACAAACCATCCGCCATCCGAGGAGATGTACGCTTTTGTGATGACGAGGTCCAGGTCTGTCAGCAGTTGTACGACTTGCAGGAGGCAGCCATGTCTGTTGACACTATCAACCTGTGTTCACAAAATGACCTGCAATCAACTCCTGCTGATGGCAAGCGCACAGCTGCGTAGCAGCTTATACGGTTTCCAAGGCAACCAAACCTAGCCACACACAGAGAAGAAGTTTTGGGACGTGTGCACACAACCTTTGATGATGGTACACAAGAATGCAAGAGAACCAGATTGCAACTTGGACATGACCATTCTGACTTACCTTCACGAGGGTTGCATCATCCTGAGTTGAGTTGTCAATGACGACCCTGCAGGCGATGCAAACAACTCCTATTAGAGTGCGTTCCCCAGAATGACAAGTTTTAGCCAGAGGTTCAACGAAGCACCCTCGCTCTACCTCGCGTTAGGAGACAAACGAACGTCACAGTAGCAGGTTAAGCAATGGCTGTTAGACCATAGAGAAAGACTATCTAATTGAGCGGAAGATCTGCTAACAAGTGATGTCCCAGGACAGAATACGAGGGATGCACCCTGCCTCACCTGGGAGGGTTGATCCGCAATGTCAGGTTCTCAAACTCTGCACATGAAAACTCAGGCTCCATCACTGCATAATCCTTGCAAATAACGGAAGCCATGAGCATTGCCAGCTGAGAAAAAGCCATGGAGTGCAAGGGACTCTGAACTACAAAGGGAAGACAGCTAAACTGCAACAAGAAGATAGCTGCGCAGCCTGATCCTGAGAAATAACATGGTAAGAGCTTTGCAGCTTCTCAAAACCTGAGATGAGCAGTTACCCTTTGCAGTACAAGCTCTGCTTACCCTGAGCCATCACTTCATACTTGGGGTCGCAAAACCCTGGGCTCTCTGACATTGTCCTGTTGTGATACTTCAGGCCAGGCTGCTCCGGCCAAGAAGACGGTGACCCGGAAACTGACCCGCTGCCCATCTTCCCGGGCCATGACAAATTGTTGGGTTGGGCAGCAACCGCTACCCCCCCGTCCCTCGGTCCCATGATCACAAAGAGATTTTGTGCAGCATTGGGACTCTTCAAGGTCGTCCTCCGACCAGACTACCTACCTTACCTAGCCGCAAATCCCCTGCCTTTCCCCCTGATCTACCTCTGCTCCTTCTGCTACCGCTGAAACGATCGCAAAGCTTTTCTACCCTGCCCTAGGCGCTTTTCAACGCCCCTGTCAGTTGACCTCGATGCAAACAAAGAGATCTCCAGCGCCTCCGGAGATGCAGATCGCCATTTTCCGACCTTCTTGGAGCGTTCCGGTCGTCTCTCCGACTCCACCTCCGCGAGTCGCCGTCCGTCCACTTGGCAGGAGTGGCCAGTTTGCCTGCTCGCGTGGCAGATCCGGGCGGAATTTGAGAAACAACCCTGCCCGCAGATCTGACGATCTCTACCGAGCACCCAACGCGTCAGCGAAACCGCGTGTAGCTCAAAAACCTGGTTAGATTGAAGTTAAAATCAACAATAGGACGATGTTTTGACCTTGTAAGCGGACAGATGAAGCCTGGATGAAGCTAGCTGGCAACATTACTCAAGCAGCCTGTTTCTTGTATTTCATCGATAACAAAATTCTATATAAAATGGTTCAAAGGCCGTTGAAAAGATAGTGTGGTACACGCATATTCATAAGGTCCACTAGGTGGCGCTCCAATCGCTTATAAGAGATCCTGATTGCTCTTCAACCGAGCGCAGATCACAGTGCACACGCTTCAGATATGATGTCGACACGTGCGCGCATGAAAGCCTCTCAAATATCTGAAAGGTTCTCCGACTTTTCATCGGTGCCGTCGATCCGTGGCAAAAGTGCATCATCTGACGGTTCAACCACGGTATGATAGGCAATGATTGCATGCGCGGCGCGCAGGCGCGGTGACAGACCATCCGAAACCGCGCGCTCAGGCTTCTTCTGCTATCCGCGCACCTGCTTCCGTTCTTCGATGCCCTGCTATCTAGAGACAAGGGCGGAACTTGGAAATCTCTCTTCTGAAGACAGTGAAGTTCCATGATAAGTTCATATTTTCACGCATGCATGCATTGCACATTCTGTAGAACTTGAAGTTGGAGCGAATTGGCTTGCATTCCAATGCCAATGGGAGACGTCAAGGAGGACCAGCCGTCGGAGAATGGCAATGCCGGGGACTCTGCCCTGGAAGAGAAATTGGACGTCCTAAGAAAACTTTTCAACAAGAGAGATGAAGACCAGCTCAGAATTGTGGGGGTTGGAGCGGGAGCTTGGGGGAGCGTCTTCATTGCACAATTGCAGGTTACTTGCAATGCTGGCTTGGACACGACCTGAAAACAGACTGCATACACCACACAATACTTTTACACTCTGCTATGTCACCATTTGCGGAGAATTAGCCTGGCTTGAATGGCTGAAACGTTTGAATGAGCTTTTATAGATTGTATTGCTGCGCACTCAGTAATCAGTATTTGAACTTGTTGAAACTGTTTTGGCTTTTTAGCTCTTGTGCTGCACAATCCAATTACTGAGGAGGAAGAAGAAAAAGAAGGATTGAGTGGACCAAAAAGTAGTGGCAGTCAGAAGTGCATGAGCATGACACTTCAAGAAAGATACTGATTATAATCATCCTTCAAGAGCAGCACCTGACTTTGATGATAGAGAAGAGTCATTAAAAAGGGGTAGGAGCGAAGCGAGTGACCTAACACCCTTCAAGTTTCCCGGATGGGGCTTTTTGAGTTTGCTGGCTGTCAGGGGGAGGGGTGGTACAGCACGGTTTGATCACAGGACTGCACCAAATCCCGATTCTGGTTAGCGAGCTGGAAATGACATCAATACTCGCTTTCAAAATGTGGCACACAAAACTGCAGTGTTTGTAGCTAGCTTGATACGGTCTTGAAACATACCATTAAATTACACAAGTTCAGAAAGGGCACTTATTCGACCTTTGTTCACAAACTGGCGCACCTGGCTTGTCTTCCAAAGAATTAGACTTGGTTCAGGCCTGCTTTGGAGATAATGACCAGTTATAAAACATAAGCAACTTCTTTTCAATTTCTTAGCAAACCTCTCGACTTGCCACTTGCTCCTCGTGGCCTGCACCCCGCCCTTCTGAGACAAAACTTAAATGACCCTAAACCCTTCTTGAACCTCTTCGTGACCACTCTGCCAAGGAATCTGTGAGTCTTACCATTTTCTTGACTGTTGAAGTCCTAAGAAAGCCCGCAGCAGCCTTTCATGGAAAAGTGCGAACGGCTTGTCTAGTCAGCCACTTTAAGGAAAAGATTCTCCTCCCGAGCAGAACCAATACGGCCACCTGAGAAAGAAGGTGGACATCCGAATATGGAGGCGGCCTGGGAAAGCGCTGAGCAAGGAGTTTGCAGAGCAGCTCTTCTCCATTATCTCTGGAAACGAAGACGTCATGCGGCGGCTTATACGCAGGTAGGGCGTCGGAAATGCAAAGAAAGAATGGGGGGGTGTTTAAATGCATCTGTTCTACCCAGTGCAATACTTGTACACTTGCAACAAGCAAATTTGGTGCCAGGTGCACTTGCATTCTTGTTGCTTCATCTCGACAGGGCAATAGTGACAGATTGTAAGAGACTAACTTCAGTCTCAATCTCATTGCTGTGTTGCAATAAAGCAGTCCCGTCCTTCCTTTCTTCCTTCCTTTTTCCTCTCTCTCCCTTCCTTCCTTTGTTCCCTTCTTAAAGCTTGAACCTTTCAGGTGCGGGGACGTTGCCAAGTCAGCAATTGCAATTCCCTACTTGGCAAAAAATGAAACACGACTTATGCTGGCAATCCAAGATGTCAGCTCAACTTTACTTTTCGTCGTGACCTTCTCTCTTGATTTCAATCACAATGCTCCCCCTGTTTTGCAGTTATGCCTACGCCAAGTACGCGGAGGCGCGTCTGGGCGTTCGAACGCTGTATGCGGACGAGATCCTGAAGGACGGGTTCTGCGTTAACATGGTCAATACGCCGTTGTGCCCGCTCAACGTGGTCACCCACCTACAGGTTGGCTTGCAAGTATCCGCTCTAGTTCTCGTCCTGTGTGACCACGTGGCTGTGGCGTTCGCTCTCTGCTGCCAGAACTGAGCCGGTTCCTCTTGTTGAGAATCCGATTACTTTCATCGGTACCTGTCAGAAGTTTGGTCTGGAAGTCAGCCAGAGTGAACCTTGAAGCGTACAGCGTTGTGAATTCAAGGAGCGCTGACGGCTCTTCCGAAACCGCCACCACTTCTTCCGGTGCACACTCAGTCTCGACATGACAAAGGTGAAGGTTTGTCGTTTCCTAAAATTACACTCCTGAAAGAAACTGAATCCGGTGTGCTACGGAAGAAGCTTTCCTTTCTTAACAAGGCGCCCCATAGGGCCCCCATCTGGGTAAACGGCCTGCCCTTCATAATGACAACGATCACAATATTTGCATATTTAAAACTGTTCGACCACGTCACCTGTAGAGGCGAGCTAGCGCACAACCATTGCAGGCAAACGGCCTGCTTTTATTAGAAAACTGGACGCTTCTGAGCAGATCCGCAGTTCTTGGCGAAACTTAGTACACTCTGATTGGCATTCTGATATGTCACGTTTGTCCAACCTGAAGGGACGCTCCTTGCAGGAGACCTGCCGGTCAGACATTCATATCAGCGACCTGGAGACGCGAAAGATTTTGAAGGAGTGGGCACCTTTCGGTTACCTTTGACCCTCTAAGCTCTAAACCCTTGAACAAGACTCAAAAATACCTTCCATTTACCTGTTGCGCTCAGGAGGCGACCTACCGGGCCGACATCGTTATTAACGGCCTGCCTTCGACGGAGACGCGGAAAGTGTTTGAGGAGATCGGGAACTTTTGGCGGGAGCGGCAGGGGATGCTACCGGTCGTGATCAGCCTCGCCAAGGGCGTCGAGTGCGTGCTGCAGCCGCATCCGCACATACTCACGCCGTGCATGATGATCCACCAGGCAGGTGAGGGGCCGGCCAGTTGGGGTTTGGTTTGGCAAGAGAAGTCTCATCGGGTCGGTCAAGGTTACGAGAGGTTTGAAATTGGGTGCGGGGTTAGATGTCGACTTCGTATTTCAGTGGCACCCGCACATACTCAGGTCGTGCATGATGATCCACCAGGCAAAGCGAGGGAGCTGACAAAATGGACATGGATCGAGTCGAGGATTAAAAAGTGGGTGCGGAGGTTGAGAGGTCTGTACGATCGTTCCAGTGAGGCAGTAAGCTTGGCGAGTTAAACGAAAGGAAGAATTTTCTGATTCGGTTGGGTTTGCAAGTTCAAAGTATTGTCCGTTCCATGCTTGTATGTGAAAGGATCCTTATTCTTTCCCCTTGCGGGTCATATTACTGAGAACAGTTGCATACGCCAGCGACCACCACTTTGTTTTGTGAAATCGGAGACTTCACTCAGTTGACCGAACATAGCCGGCCAGGCTCTACGTATCAAAGGCCTTCTTCGAGGAGAGTGTCCCATTTGACATGGACATGACCCTTTAGAAATACATCCTTATCTGACTCAGGCGGACTATTTTCTGGGTATCGCATGCTTCAGGCCCTCAAGAACGAAGGCGCGATTTGAAACGGTGGCAGGCTTGACAGAAATCACGTTTGTTGTTTTTCGAGGCCTGTGCATCTTCGTCGTAAGATGCTGGGTCCTCATATTACCTCCTTTTTGCAGCGGGCCTTCCCAAAAGAGAGTCGTCTTTTTCTGGGCGGCCCAATTTCCGTGGCCATTTTGAAACGCCGAAGTCAAAGCCGTTCACCAGTGGAGCTACTCTTCGAGGGTGTGTTTGCGGCCGGCACTCCTGTAGGGAACTGTCTCGACATGCGCAGTGCAATATCTACATGGCTGGGCCGAACATCGCTGCTTGGATGTATGACAGCGAGTTCGCGAATGCGCGCCTGAGCGGAGCTGATAAACGACGAGCAAATTTGACGCTATTCTTCGGCTATTCTTAATATTGAATCTTACCCGCTTTCCCGCATCCAGCCTCTTAGTGGAAAACTGTCTCTACCTGGGCGGCCCAAACGTCACGGCCGAAGTGTACGACGGCGAGTATGCAAATGCACGCCTGTGCGGTGCCGATGCAGTCGCAAATATCAGTAAGTCTGTGCTCTTCAGTTGGAGTTGGGGTCGTTAATTCTCATTCCCCTTCTGCAGCGGGGCTCCCCCTAGAAAATTGTCTCTACCTGGGCGGCCCGAACATCGCGGCCGAAGTCTATGACGGCGAGTACGCGAACGCGCGCCTGTGCGGGGCCGACAAGTGGCGCAAGCCGCTGGCGGAGTTCGTCCGCCAGAGGAACTTTGCGGTGTGGGACAACAGCGACCTGATCACGCACGAGGTCATGGGGGGGCTCAAGAACGTGTACGCGATTGGTGCAGGTAAGCAAATCTCGCCTGAAGTCATCCTCTGTTTCTTCGAGCAATCCCTTTGGACGATAGACCATAACCTGAAGCTTAGAATCAATTCTTCTCGCCAGGCCGGGTGCGGCGGTGACGCAGGAGAGGGCAACGAGCAACGCGGTTCACTTTTTTCAGACAAGCTTCTTCGTCGCCAGCTTGCATAAAGTCAAGCGTCCCTCTCGAGGAAGCATCATTCACAAACCTACGACTTTGGAATTGTCTATGCACGCCTGGTTGCAACGCGACTTAGAAGAGTGCGACGCACAAGGCCGTTACCTGTTCCGAAAATACCTCTCTGGTTCCGCGTTTCGGGGTCATGCCAGCGATCCATTGCATTTCAGCAATGATGGAGAGCACTAATCTGGCCCTCGCAGGCCTGATTGTCACGGTACACCAGGCGAGGGCGACGAGCAAGGCAGTCTACTTTGTGGAAAACAGATTCTCTCGCTTCACAAGTCGGATAGGTGGTTGTGGGCTCTGGTTCTTTGAGACAACCCTTCAAGATTTCTCGTGATCTCACAGGAATTTTGAGCGATTGATCATCTTTGCAGGCCTGGTAGCGGCTGTGACCCAGGAGAGCGCGACGAGCAAGGCGGTCTACTTCGCGCACTGCACGAGCGAGATGATCTTCATCACGCACCTGCTAGCGGAAAAGCCGGAGCGACTTGCGGGACCGCTGCTGGCAGATACCTACGTCACGCTGCTCAAGGGGCGTAACGCATGGTGAGAGTCTACCGGCTATCTTGCTCACTGTCCAGTCGATGTGGGGGCACGAGGAGATAGACTGGATCTTGCGGGTCGAGAAGGAAAGGCTATGTCAGAGCACTTCGACCGCAAAGGGATTGTGATATTTTCCTGGATTTTTGCTGAGATAAGGAGTGCGATCGCTCCTGTAGCGAGGAAAGACAAGTCTGCATTCAGAGCGGCTGCTCAATTGTCAATCTCCGAGAGCAGACCGGCAAGGCTTTCACTTTTTCCACCCTTCGATGTGTCCAACTTTCCAGTATTCCACCAAAGACCTGCGCACCCCACTCATATCCGGAAATGATCGTCGGCACTCTAGAAATAGATTCACCGGATCTAGCGGATCTAGAAAGATTGCCTAGATACGCCTCAAATAGAACTGAATCCTAAGTACGATCCGCTGGTGCGCAGTGAGTCGTCCCTTTGTTCCACCGCTGAAGAAGTTTCTTACCTTTTGGACCTTTGGATGCCTTAACATCGGCCGAGAAGCTTTGGGTCCAGATACAACTCGCAATCCCGCCAAGTGCGAACTCCTCTGACCTTCAAGCTTCAGAATCTTTCGTCTGGAACCTCGATACAACACAAGGATCTAGAAGGCCCTAGATATGTATAAGAACTGAAGCTCCTTGTACGCTGCAACTCGTCGAGTCCAGGTACTGGCTGCAGCTGCGCAATCTGAAAACCTCTGAGTCCCACCATTCCTGAAACCCGTGAGCAATGATAACCCTAAAGATCCCATTCAATTCAGGTACGGGCTGCAGCTGGGCAACAAGGCGCTGACGCCGGAAATGGGCGAGAACATCCCCGGCAAGGGCATGATCCAGGGCATCTCCGCGGTGGGCGCTTTTTACGACCTGCTCAGCCACTCGGAGACCCCGGTGGAAAACCCCGAGACCGGAGAAAAGACGCAGCCCATTGAGCTGTGCCCCATCCTCAAGACCCTGCATCGGATCTTGCATACGAGGTGGGAGGGGCGACGTTGATCTTGATTTTTCTCACTTTTCCTCTGTTGCTTTTGGAGTACTTGCTTTGTAAGGTTGCAGGAATGCGTGAGCTGCTCATTATTGTACGAACCGACTGTGACGACAATGAGATGGAGTGTGCGGGCCTTTTGTGGCGGAGCATTGTTGTCTGGCGCGGCCTCCTTCTTGTGTTGTCGACCGATCTTGGATTTTCACTGAGTTTATTGCCCGGGCGAATCCGACGTAATCATGGTTCCGAATCTCCTTTATCAGGGAAGCGGACCCGACGGCCATCCTTGAAGCGCTACGAGATAAAGACAACGTCGATCCGAGCCACCGCATCATGATGACGGTGGAGGGGGGCAAAGCGTACAACCCCGCCCTCCTTGCAACCGAGCATTCGGCCGCAGAGTCGGCTGCACATGCGCGTTGATAGGAAGCAGTGTTTTTGAAACATGCCCTTGTAAATATCGTGCTCGTTTTCGGTTCGCATCAGGTATAGGGTATCCAAGTCAAAAGTAGTGCATCCGAAATCAGAAAGGTTGCTTGAGTTTAGGTAGAGAGAAGAGCTAGATCGAATGCGTTTGCGCTTTTTGTTCTTTCCGTTAGAATACTGTAGTTCCCTGACAAACCCCGGGCTCAAGGCCGAGCAATAGATGCACCTATACCAAAAAACTTCGCGGATATTGTTTTCAATCAAAAGGCCATAGCTTGATTCATATTTGCGTTATTCACGATTGCGATGTGCCGCGCAGGTAATTATAAATGTCGTTGCAAGTCTGCATGAATGGACAGTGTATGTATGCGGCATGCCGCGCGTCACTTGCTTGACCAGCACATATAATGGGACGGCTGTGCGACCGCGTCATAGGTCATTACAGTGGTCGAACTCGGACGCGAACTGCTGGCACGAAATGCCATAAACATCGATGGCATGGGCCGGCCGCAGCGCTCGGTCGGACAGCTTCCGACACACACGCCTAGTGACGTTCGAATTTGCAAATGATATGCACTGAACTAGTATGATATGATGCTGTCAAAGAACGGTCGTAGCTAGCAGATCGTGAAAGTACGCTCTTTTCTAGGCGGCCACGGATAGTGCACTTTCGCATATTAAGAAGTACGGCCAACGGCTGATAGAGTCACTCAAACACTAGCTCATGGTTTTGAAAGGTGTGCGCAAATGCAGACGTATCTGATCTGTGGCACATGTGTAGCTACGGGCCCGCGCTGATCGAGCACTGCAGAGCGGGTGCGGAGCAAGGACACCTCAACTGTAAAATTGCCAGTGCCAAGCCCCAGCAAGAACTCCGAAGGGCTCCGAGCTGGTCGATCAGGGACTCGATTCGTGAAGTGCGTGTGCTCGAAGTTTCGACTTCGCGTGCGGTTGAAACCACTTTATCATGCAGCATCTTCGTAACCTCAGCCTGGCAGTACGGTCGCCGGGTCCTTATAATAACATGCCATGCGACGTCAGGCCGATAGCTAGCAAATTGTATCAGAATTGACATTCATTTGACCGATGTAAACGCCTCGACTGTTAGACCTCGGTGTTTTGGTTGTCGCTGACCCGGGAAGCGACCAGCATGGTTGCTGCTCTTTGCTTCTCTGACCATCATGACCGGTAAAGTCGGATAACTTTGGTGTCATCTTGAAACAGATGCTTTTGTGATATCCGTATCCTTAGCGTTACAACGAACGGTACCAACAAGAATATAATGAAAACAGTATCACTTCTCGCTCCTTTCAACCATTCCTTGCAATGTGTTGCTTGCCTCCGCAACGTAGCTCATCGGTCTACGAGTTGCCCGAACAGAAGTGTTTGTACCATTCGAAAACGACTTCCGCTTCTCCTACGAGCCGTTTCAGGAAGCCAGGCTGGTCTCTGTGGATCAGCGTGGAAATGTCTGTATGCAAAAGCACACAACGGAATAGCGAAACGGAGCAAGAGGTCCTCCAGAGGTCTTCCCTATCCAAAGCCTCGTCTCGCAGGACAAACAGCTTCACACAAAGTGATCCGCAATAAGAATATGCATCCCCTGCGACCAGTCCAAATCGCACTAGGAGCCGAGAGAAGTCCGGTCCAGAGGCCCTTTCAAACCGGCTTATAGCCATCCGCTCAATGTGCGGGCATAGCGAAACAAACTCTGAAACCTGCATCTGCCTTCCAGGTGAAGGCACCTGCCGAATTGGAGGCTGGTTATAAGAGGAGGGAAGTGTACGAAGCAGGAGGTGGCGGAGATTGGGACAGTGGTGTGCTATGTCACGAAGATAGTGGCCCGGCTGAGCTTCTGTGACCATATCCATATGCAGTGTCTCAAGAGCCCTAAGCGCTGGACCTGATGGATAGTGGGATTCCTGCGTTGGCAACCAGGTTTCACCTCTGAATCGTAGCGTGCGGAGAGCTGTAAGAGTATCTAGACTGCTCAGCACGAGTGGCCAGGGCGGTAGCTTGCAGTTCGAGAGCTCCAGATTAGTTAGACTGCTGTTCAGTGTGTTGGCCTCTGCTTGAACAAAACGGCTGTCCGAAAGGAAAGGAGCCAATCCGTTTCCGTGGAAATTCAACTCCCTGAGCTTTGGAAACGCTTGCACGATCCGCTGCAAGCCTTTCTCCAGCTCAATGTCATATCTCGCAACCTTCGCCAGACATAGCTCTAGTTCTAAGCTCTCTAAGGACTCCCTCGAGATCGAAAAGGGCTCGAGTGACAATTCTAGATTCTCCTCAGAGGTCACCTTCACGTGGGACCACTTGATACTCTCCAAAGCTGGCCATAGGCTAAGGGCTACTGCTTCTCTTGGCAAGACCAGCCTGGAAAGATTTGGTCTCACGCTGACGTCTTTGCTCAAAGCTCTGCAAAGCTCATCTACTTGTGACTTTCTCTTCTTTCTAATGTCTACTTGAAGACTGGGACTGACCACCAGCGCCTGGCTGCATCGGTGTGTCGCCGCTTGAAAGGCTTTGTTCACCCTTGCCAGGTGCTCTAGCGAACTTTCTTTTGCGACTTTCGCTATGATGTAGTCAAAGACATCCGGGCACAGCCTCCCAAAGTGGTTGCCACACTGGGCCTCTCTGAACGCGTCATGACGCTCTCTGAGTTGTTCCTTGACCGCCAGCAGTAGGACACAGTAGGAACTCCATTGAGCCAGATTGATATTAGGCCGCCACCCCCTTGCCTGATCTTCTTCCCCTCTGCTTTGGCAAACATTTCAGTCATGCATTCAGTAAGACAATCTGTTCCGGTGTCCGGCTTTTACGATCCATGCGGATTCAACGGAACAGCTTTTCCAATATTCCTCGATTTCGGGCCGGCCCGCCCCTGACGGTTGCTTGCTGTATTGTGCGCACTCTCTAGGTATGCAGGGCACTGATTAGGGTCATGATTCCCCACTGAGTCGCGCAACCGCGCGACCGTATCAAGCAATGACGCGTGCGCATGGGCAATTACCTTGCATCATTCGCACGGTTGAGAAACCCAAGGCTCAGATATCAGTTGAATCATTATTGGCATGCAATTTCGTGCAGATTGAACGAGTCGGGTCGCTAGGGTTGATCAGCATGCGGATCTCGGCATGGAACTTCACGCAGATGCAAGGCATGGGGCAACACCAATTGAAGTACAGTCGTTATATACAAGATGCATGTACGTTTCACGCGGCTATCATGGCATGATGCACAAACGCAATCAAGACTATATAGGTATCCGAGTTATACAAGGTGTGCATCTCAATCGGCAGGGCACCAAGCCATGGTAAGGTCATAATAGGAGATGACTCCGATATAAGTCGAAAATTGTGCGATCGGACAGGCCTAGCACGCGGTGACTTCTGAATGATTACCGATACGAAATGAAGTTGTACACGCTTGCTTTCTGATGGGCAGCTTATGCGTCAGTATCGTAAATACAGCTACCTACTAACCTAACAGCCGAAGCTACCCCTACGAACGCATCAAATCACCTCATCAACCATGATCAGCTGGTTACACACACGGTGCATTTGCCAAACCTGCTTACAATTGCCACCAATCACCGCTACCTCAGAGATTTCAAGTTTGAGGCTTGACCAGGCACCTCCGTTTCTTAGGGGGAACCTGCCCCCGTTGTACTCGGATCTTCACGGAGACCGCGACATCTCATCAAGCTCTAAGGTGAGCGCGGAGAACAAGAAGGTGCGAACAGAAGAAGTTGCGCGAGACGAATCTTCGGCCCCTTCTATTGCACTTGCGTTAGAAGCGGCTTTCCGTCGAAGTGGGCCCGCAAATTGTCCATCATAAGCCGCGCCATATTGCTCCGCGTCTCTATCGTTGCACTCCCGATGTGGGGGAACAGCACGACGTTGTCCATCGACAGCAGCTCCTCTACAGAAAGTGACATTTGGAGGTCAATCAAATCCGTCAAGGACGTTCGACTCTTGAGTGCTGAGGTCTTGACCGGATCCAAAATCGGCTACTCAACCTGAACGATACTCAATCGTGCGTGGTGGATTGCGCGACTCCGAAGATGGAAGAATCGTCTAAATCAGACAAGTTCGGGCACCTTAAATCCGCACCCATCCGCACCCACGAGTTGCACGGCCAGTCTGCGATTCATTAGGTGCGAACTTTGCGGAAGTCGACGATTTGTCAGGTCCCCAGCCTTTGTGAGATCCATCGAACCATCCGTCGATAACAACATCTTGGGTGCGAGGTTAAGGGGTCCGAGAAGATTGTCAACGGTAGTAAGCGTCTGTTTCGTCAACGCTTACTACCGAGGGCGGGCAGACGAACGAGGCCCTCGCAACCCATGAGGAGCCGCCGAGCATTCATGCTACTTTGAGGAGATCAGTGTGCGTCGCAGGTGAGCCTTCCGAAACCCAGTCAGATTCAGAGAAAAGTCAGTCGCTCTACCTATTGAGGGCCTCAAAAGCTGAGTGAAGTAGAGGTTCCGAAAACCCAGACTTGAAACAAACCAAACGGGTCACAATAACGTGATCAACACTTGGTTTTGACCATTTCACGAGCTGACTGCACAAGAGCCGAACATTCAACGGACCCTATGGCTTTGCAGAAGGTTATTCAATGCGGTTGTCGAAGTCAACGCTCAACATGCTGTATCTCTTAGAAACAATTTCAACCTTTCGACACTCCAGATTTACAGATCGTACTTGAGGCAGTTTTCACGACGTCCACTAGAATGACACCCAGTACCCGCCTCGCTGACTGCCGAAAGTCCCGCTGATTGCAGACAAGAAAAGAAACGAGAACAGCCCAGACGAGAGACCAGCATTCCACTTACCTGGCACCTTCGGTTCCGACTCAAACACGTCCAGCCCCGCCCCCGCAATCCGCTTCTCCACCAGCGCTTGCACCAGCTCCTTCTCGTCTACAACGCTCCCCCTCGCAACGTTAATCACGAACCCGTTCGGACCGAGCGCGTCTAACACCGGCCGGTTCACGATGTGAAACGTGGCAGCGCCCCCAGGACACGTCAGCACCAAAAAGTCGACCTCTTTCGCGAGCGCTTCGACCGTAGGGAAGTATTTGTAGGGGACCTCGGGCTTTTCCCGCGGGCCTTGGTAGCAGATTGTGCTGCCGAAGGCTTCGATGCGTTTCGCGACCGCTTTGCCGATGTCGCCGAGCCCGACGATGCCGGCTTTCTTGCCGCCGACGCTGAGACTAGTCGCCAGGGGGAAGTCGTTCTTTGACCAGGACTTGGAACGAACGAATCTGCAGCAGGGAGTCAAAACGAACCGTTTTACCAGTACGAAACCATTTTGAAGTGTCAGAGGAGTAAACATTTTGTCCTGGTATGCGTCTGTGCTTCATGCACGGTGTGATGAATTGTTTCTAAGGTTCGAAACAGACTTCCTCGATTGTGTTGGCATCCGGAACGGTCGTTCTGACTGACGTCTAGTTCTCAACTTGGCACGAAGAAGACCCTAAACGCTCTCGTACAAACCTAGATTCTTCGTTCTCTATAGAGAGGAACGAGACAGCGGAAACAAAAGAGAAAAGCGAAAAGCAAAAAGCAGGGTCTTGGTTGCCAAGGGGACAACGATTTCTAGAGAGCCAACGGAAGGCCTCGTAGTGCCGCCAGGATTTTTGCTGGTCGCAGGAGTTGCAAATTGGGACCGAGGCAGAGTGCATCCGATTATTGACCCTTTCTGAGAACGATTCTTTGAATCATGTGTGCAGGTCTAGCTTCCAATCTGTTCAAACGGTGCCTCAGAGTCGTTGGTTGTCACAGTAAATAAGAGCAAAGAAACCATTGAAAACGGAACGATGACGAAGCTGAGAAGAACAGACTTACCGGTCTGCAGCACACGCTTTCCGTAGCGTTGTCAGCAGAAGAGCCAGCGCGGTGTCTGCGGTGTCCTCCGTCAAGACACCCGGCGTGTTCGTGACTGGAATCCCGAGCTCTTTGGCTTTCCCCAGGTCGATGGCGTCGACGCCAACTCCAAAACAGCAGATAATCTGCAGAATGAGCGAGGATACACGGTCAGGCGATGTTCAAGGTGTGGAATGACCAGTTGTGGAAAGGTGTGGACTGACCAGTTGGAAACAGGCCAAAGGAGTGCAAGGTGAGGATGCAATATTGACAAATGAGCAAGACGCGCAGCTCGGCTTGGGTGGCCCGTCTGATGGTGGATTCGCGCACTTGAAGATGCTTGCCCACTGGATGATGCGGACTCCAATTGCCTGCTCTGCCCCTCAGAGTCAACCTTCAGAACTGCTGCATTTTGAGCATACATGGCCGCGGTTGACTTTTGGACAGTATTTGTAGATCTCAAAGATAAGCTTATCCAAAGCAAAAGCAGGACTTTCGATGACCTCCGCTGTCTTAAAACAGTTTTTGCCTTTGTTCAGAATCTTTGATACCATCAGGCTGATCGTCGCTGCACTATACACAGTAGGTCTGGCAAAGGGCGAACAATCCTCGCACACTTGTCCGGTTGACAGTACGGACCTGTAGAATGAAAGTCAGAGGCACTGACAAGATGCTTCATATGTGGACGAGAGCTGAAGCATGAAGCAAACCGCAAATCAAAGGTGATACTCAGGCTAGATTGAGAATGTGAGACGGGGTATTCAGAACCAATTCTTACCCACCAGACTTCTGCACACAAAGTGGGGTTCCAAAGCTTACAGGTGCAAAATCTTCCGTAGGTGCCCTCTTTTGGAGCTACGGTGCGTTGAGCTCCCAAACAGCAGACCACAAAAAGATAGAACCCAAAACGAATTACAAAAGACACAATAGAGCTGAGGGTTTCAATACGCAAGCTGCCATCTCTTCCTACCATCGGCCATGCCATTCGCAAAGAAATATCTCAAAGCTCTGCGGACGACAAAAGGATTGGATTAATCGGCTGCGAATGGATTGCTTATCAATCGACCGCCAGATCTGCCAAGCTTCAATAATTTAATCCGTCCTGAACGGATCAGTTGCCCTCAGATCTGCAAACAATCAAGATTTTACACCCATCTGGAATGGGACCAGTTTCCTCGCACAGAAAACATAGTCCCAGAATTCTGCATTCACGTACCTTAAGATTTGGCAGGCTTGAGATCAAGTCAGCTTTTGCCCCCACATTGTATGAAGTGACAATAGCTTGGATCTTTTCCTTGTTTGCAGCTATGAATGCATCTTTGTCTGTTTCCTCATAGAGCTTGTGCAGAGTGCAGAACTGTGGCAACTCGTCCAAGATCAGCGGGATGTTCTTAGCAAGAACAAGTACATCTGGCTTAGCCATTGCAATGGTCCTGCACGATATATCGCAGCTTTCAGGAGTCGTTCTCGTACAGAAGTTTACAGAAGCAGCTCGAAAGCGTTGGATCCTCCCCCTGCTGCACCTTTCTACAGATTGGACGATGCGCTTCCTTTGGGAAGAGAAAGAGCGATCTGCACGACCGTCTGATTGCTCGCAAGAAACCCGAATCAGACTGAGAAAGCTTCCATGCAATTGTTTCGCAAGCTCGGAGTGACGCAACTTCCCTTTTAGGGTTTGCTCGCATGCACACGAAGCCGACACGTGGCACAAATACCGTTACCACCCTGCGGCGGCACCGGACAACACGTTACGGCTTCCCGATTTCCGGAGTCGCTAACCTGGGTCGCAAAACCCTCCCCAATGGAAAGCGGTAACGGTGATTCTTTTCAGCCCATGACTGAGCGGTTCGCCGCAGCCATGGCGGCGGGCGCTGTTCTCAAGCCTTCTGAAAAAGAACTCGAGACGTGACCTCCACTGCCAGACTGTCCAATGCCGTGACTTGCGAAAGGGGGATTCGCCATGTGACAGATTCAAGATTCCGATCTACCTCTCTAGCAACCAATCGTGCTGAGGCAATGCTGTAAACGCAAAGCCAAGGACGATCAGGAAGCTGTGTTTGGAAAGCAGTGGTGGTAACGAGTTTGTGGAGCACAGCAGCGCTGTTAGAGCTTTCTTGCGTCGAGCGAACTTTTGTTTGGGATGGCTTTCTCGGTGTGCAGAGCAGGGGTTCTGTCTCCATTGGGGGGGATCGCTCTAAATCCAATAGCAAAGCAACACTATGATGGGGGTGTCCAATTTCTGCAGATCCCCTTGAGATCTTCAAAGGTGAGCCCCATCTGGCATTGGGTCAAGATCTCAACCTGATGCAACAGAAAACTCAATGATACGACAAGCAGGTCAAATTGATTTCCATGGTCAATCGTCTTCTCAGGCAAGGCTCAAGAGAGCAGTGATGTGCGGCAAAAATGCTGCAATCATGAAAGTGCGGCGACTGGAATAAGCATCGGCAAACGTACGACACTTCTGGTGTCCAAGTTGGGGCTACCTGTTCCTATCGTCAATAGCGTTTTACATATGCACCACCAGATGCTGAGCAAGGGATGGAATTTGAAGCATGCTCCTGGCATTTCATTTCACTGCATTCTTAGTATGAAAACACCAAGTAAGATGCTTCTTGCAGTTCCTCTTGGCACATAGCGCCAGTTTGATCAAAGCACAATGGTCGGTGGCCATGCTCTTACTTTGTCAGCATAAATTGTCCTTGTAGAATCACCAGAATAGAACATTGAGGGTTGAAAGCTGGACATATCTTGTCAAAAGTTTGGACATGACTTGTCGGAACCTGTCCTTGATCAGCAGCACAAGTTATTGAGATTGTGTGGTTGGCTTACTCTTGACGATAACACGTTTTATGCCCGTTCCTTTCAAACATTTCAATCTTTCTCTCTGTCGATCATTTATCTGACTGATTTGCGCCACTCACTTCTTCACAGGTCCAGGCAGCTTTGCCTGCCTCACCTTCCCTTCAGACCTCTTCCTCTTCTTTCCTTGGCCACACATTCTCCGCTTCCAGCCCCACTCAGGCCCTCAGGCGGCAGCCAGCCGTCAGAGATAACCCGGTGAAATGCTCTGTGGCCGTCGAAGCGCCAGCAGCAGGTGTGGCCCTAGTTCTCAAGAATCTAGTCAAGCGGCGGTGAATTTTGGTAATCTTTGGCGTGATTTGGTGGGCGGACTTTAGAGCATTGGTTCTTGGCTGACTGGAGGTTGTGCATACCGGCGTTGATCTGAGAGCATGTTCGCCTAATCTGTGTGAAACAGCATGTCTGGCGCATACCTCACTGGCAGACTCCTCGCAACAGGTCAGATTGTCTCGTTCATTTTCACGGTTGGAATGCACTTCCTGGAAGTGAGATGCACATGGTAAGGTGACTAGAGAGTGTGGCGTACTGAAAAGGCCTCATGTTGCTGCGTTTTTGCAGCTGACGAGAGGCCCTTCCCTACACTAGACGCGAGGTTGGTGCTAGAGGACGGTTCTGTTTGGGAGGGGCAGGCGTTTGGGGCCAGGGGGACGCAGGTCGGAGAGGTGGTGTTCAACACATCGATGACGGGGTGAGAACTGAGTAATATTGATTGTTGGCTCCTTCGTTTTGCGTCCTCATATGCCCAAAAAAACGGGTTTTCGCTTTTGGGACGAGTCGGGCCACGGGTCTGGTGCCTTCTCATTGTTGCTTACGCGCCCAACTCGTGGCCCGTTCTATTCGAACTGATTGCAGTAAGGTGCCATGCTGTAGTACTTGCAGCTTGTGGCCGCTTCAGCTTCAGTGTTGTGAAGCAACTCTCTAGAAAAGGGTGTGCAGGGCATATGCGCAATTTTAGGAATCGAAATCAGCGGTGTTTGACTTTGAATCTTGGAGCAATGTCGTTCCTGAGGCAATTACGGGGTTCTCAGCACGAACCATTGCTGCTTCCTTTTCGACTACGACGACCGTACGCATTAGTGCAAACCACATACGAGCCCGGGATCTAAGTCGCAATCTTGATGGTCCATTGTTTTGAGGCTTTTTCACACGCCTTCCTGCAGGTACCAGGAGATTTTGACAGACCCCAGCTATTCCGGCCAATTCGTTCTGATGACTACACCCCACATTGGGAACACAGGGATCAACCTAGGTAAGGCTTCCATATGCACCGTATGGTTGGAATGACAAACCTTGAAAAACAGCCAGTAGATCTCAGGTTCTCATGTCTGACTGCAGTGCCGAGGGCCACAAGAAAGCAAGGCACAACTAATGCCGTTTTATCATCGTGTATGTTGGTCGTTGCGGATGTAAAAGCAGGCTCTTAATACTGTTCGAGACGAAGTAGCTGTTTTGGATTCTGCGGCCTCTCAAATTGTGTCCAGAACATAAGCAGAAGGCCCAGATCTGCGTGCTCATAAGTGGCTGAAAGACGTGTCTCCGCAATTTGGCATGTCTTACATCTTGTTTGGAACTTGTTCGCAAGGGAATGAGAGATTCGAACTGGAGTGTTTTGATCGGGCCTAGAAGTATCCCATCGATAGCTTGTTGGATCCTGCAATATGACTCGTATTTCCACTATTGCAGAGGACGAAGAGTCCGAGAAATGTTACACGGGTGGGCTGATCATCCGGAGCTTGAGCCCAATGTAAGCAACCGGCTTGCCTTTCGGGTTTATGCAAAGAATTTGAACGATCCAGAGCCAAGGCAAAATGCACATGCTTGAAATCAAGACGGCCCAGAGTTCATCGTCACAGGCAAGCCTCTGTCATACATAGCCCTCCCAACTCTCCCAACTCCCAACTTTTTCGCCCGTTCAGACGAACTTGACGAACTACTTTTATGGACCTCGCTGCTGTCTAAATCATCCAAGTCTTGTCAAAGTGCCCGCTTAAACCTTCTTTGGTATCCATCCGCAGGGTGTCTAACTGGAGGTCAACGAAGACTCTGCCCGAGTATCTGGAGGAGAAAGGCGTGATGGGCATCGGTAAGTTGCCCTCTCGCACAACCCGGATCTCCAATGCCAATTTAACGTTGGGTGGAGCACTTTAACCGTGCTTTAACCTTCGTCTTTCTTCCCGTTCCGTTCGTTGGACCAGCCTTGGTCTTAATCTGGAGAAGTCAATCATACCTTCCGAATTTTCTTCCGAAAACTCCTACTTTGGCACCCAATCTCACCTCAACCTCATCCATAGGCCAAAACGCGTCCTGTCCTTGAGAATAGGCTTCGATTCATTTGACAGAGTGCTAACCAGGTGCTTGTTCCTCTCTTCAAAGAACTGTCCAAAGTCCCTAAATCACGAACTTCTCCTGCTGGATGATACTTCAACGGATGCTTGAGATCAGACTGAATGGTTCTTGTTATGTCAACCTAGTGTCGAGCGTTCACAGCGCATGCAAGAAGATCCATGAAATTTTTGAAGCTTCTTAAGCCCCCAAAACCGAACTCTGGTAAATTTGGATGCAGCCGAGGTCGATACGCGCGCCATCACGAAGCGGCTGCGCATCAACGGCAGCCTGATCGGCGTCCTGAGCACGGACGCCTCTATCCCGGATGATGAACTGATCAAGCAGGCGCAGGGCTGGAAGATTGTCGGTGAGCGCCACGTCTGCTACATGCTTTTCTGTGACGTAGAATTCTCCAACTTGCGCAGCTGGGGTCTCAGCAGGGGAGGTCCGATCCGTGAAGTCTTGCGAGCTTGTTGACTTGATGTGTCAGGGACAATTCCTTCTCAAGTCCACTCTGGCATTCGTGTCAAAGCGTCCCTTAATCCTGTCAGTTATCGCCCTTTTCTTGAGAAATCCAGTACCGGTTGTCTGACACCAGAGTCCACTTCCGGTTCCGTTCCGATACGTTTCCGTTCCGTTTCCAGGTGTCGACCTGATCACTCCCGCCAGCACGAAGCGCGTGTACGAGTGGAAGGACAAGACGGGGGATGAGTGGGAGTTCGCTCCAGAGGCCAACTCCGGACCTGACACGCGGTACAGCGTCGTTGCATACGACTTCGGCGTCAAGCACAACATCCTTCGGCGGTTGACGTCGTACGGGTGCCGCATCACGGTCGTTCCGTCGACCACACCCGCGGAGGTACGGGAGTCTGGGGAACGTGTGCGCTAATCAGAAAGGGTCGAATTCGCGAGACTAGCTTTGCTGGGCGCCATTTTGGGGCGTCTGATTCGTTGAGTTTGGCTTCAGAGCATGTCGAGCAAGATGTTTTCGAACTCGTCCATTATGAGGAGCTGATCAAGTAAGCCGATCAAGCCCCATCGTGTTCTTAAAACGCATGTGGTTGCAGATGACCATATGTCCGTGTTGCCGGCTTCGAAGCTTGCTTGCTTCAAATCTGGCTTATGCAGTTTAAGAATTTGAACTTTATGAGGTGAAACGTACTTCCGAGCCGTCTGAAATCCTCAGGGGTCGCAGTTCCAAGCCATTCGCAACTTATGCAACACAGCCTGACAATACCTTGCCTGCTGCAACAGGAGGTCTTGGCCATGAACCCGGAGGGCGTCCTCTTCAGCAACGGCCCGGGAGACCCGTCGGCGGTTCCTTACGCTGTGGAGAACGTCAAGTGAGTTGGAGCCCTGCGGTTCCCGACATGCTTCCCACTGGTCCTTTCGAACATACGGTTTCAGGTTTCAAGGATTGTAGAAGCTCAGGCGAGGTGCCGGTTAGCAGCTTCGCTCGCTCGATGGCAGTCGACGCTGCTTTGTAGTCTTTTACTCAAGTCGCTGCTATCAGAGAAGGTCGGCCTAACCGTTCTGTTAGAAGTAAAACCTAAGACCCTAAAACCCGAGAAAGCTTCGTGTGAAGATGACCAGGCTCAGATCTTCATCATTGCCACCGACGGCCAACGCAGTTTCAAGTCAGACAGAGCCAGCATTTCGCCCTTTCTCGTGCACTGGCAACAGGACGTCCTTCCCTTAAGCGTCCTACCGATTAACTTTTCAGCAATGCTCATCATTTGGCCGACAATCCAAATCTTTCTTTCTCCAAGAGTACAGCTTTCCAGATTTATAAGAGAACCCCCAGATCCATAAGCAGACCCCTCGCCGTTTGCAGGGGCCTGTTGGGCCAGGTGCCGGTGTTCGGTATTTGCATGGGACATCAGTTGCTGGGGCAGGCCTTCGGCGGGACCACCTTCAAGATGAAGTTCGGACATCACGGCGGGAACCACCCCGTCCGGCAAGTGGCCACCGGACGAGTCGAGATCAGCGCGCAGGTGAGCAGCGCCGTGCCGTCAGCTGCCGAGGATTGGACACTGGTTCTTGGTGGAAAGCATTTGCGTTTAGTTCCAGTCTCCGTGCAGAGAAGAGCAGCGGCCAGGAAAAGGTAGCGACCCAGGTGCGTTTCAGCGGTCATTTGGAAGGTGTGAAGTTCTCTGTTCGAATCCGCAGTGCAACGCGGAAAGGATCAGCGATGGATCCAATCATAGGGGAGCGAGTGATCGTTTGTTGCAACCCACTTGACGCACTTTGGAATCGGTGGTTCCTGCAATGCACGGCATTTCTGGAAAGTGATGGACGGCAGCAAGCTCCCACCGAGCCCCAAGGATAGAAGTAGCACTTAGCTATTGTAAAAGCGGGTTGAACTTTGTCTTATTTCACCGACTTTAGAAAGTGGGAATTCTTTTGGCTGTTTGTTTAAGCTTGACCAAGCTTTTGGGCGTTTTGACACTGCAAGATTGTCGAGTCGCGGCTTAGCACCCTCCCTAACCAACGGTGTCAATAATGCTTGCAGAACCACAACTACGCGGTCGACACGGACTCGCTGCCGGACGGCGTCGAGATAACGCACATCAACCTGAACGACGGCACGTGCGCGGGCATGGTTTTCCCCGCCATGCAAGCGATGAGCATCCAGTACCATCCAGAGGCGTCTCCGGGACCCCACGACTCGGACCCTTGTGAGCTGCACTTTCTCCGCTTCTTAAGTGTTTAAATCTGGAGGGAAGGTTGTACGGTTTGAAGCGCCTCAACATTTGAGCAGCAAATGTCCGAGGCTTTCTCCCAAAGCCGTCACTGGCAGTCCGTTACATTTCTGAGCTCCTAATTGCCGGCAGAAATGTTTTTTGGCTTCGTCTTACCTGGTATGTCGCCGTAAGTTTTGGGGTGGATTCGAAGGTGATGCTTCGTTCTCATCTGCGCTCTACTCAAGTCTGCTCGCATGTGATGTAAGATAACCATGACTGTCTTGAAGTTGGTTTTCGTTTGTTCTTTTGCCAAGGGTTTAGAGGGAACCTTCCTTACAAGACGTCCTCTTGGATCTAGATCATCGTTTGAAAAAGGATGCGTCCATGTTAGGTGCACGGTTGGTAAAGAAACGGGAGAAGTACTTGCACGTTGGAGCACCTACATCATGATTAGGTTTTCAAGCTGATGTGTCGCCATTCCTTTAGGTGCAGCGTTATCGGAGCACTTTTTGTCACGTGAGCTGAGTACCTTCTTCCCGTCCTCTGCAGGCTTTGCTGACTTCGTGAAGATGATGGAAGAGGCACGTGCGAAGAAGGCTTGAGAACGAAAGGGTTTTGCATTATCTTAGCGCACCAGATTGGTTTTTGAATAAGCGATGCTGCGCATATGTGTTTGGTCATATATCAACCAGATTGTGGGCAGATAAGTCCGAGGAAAACACTACATATAAGGAATATCATTCGAGCGGATTGCACAGGTCTTGGACAGGATGGCATTAACGAGATATCTATTACGACTGTGAAGGTGCTTTGGGTTTCAGTCCCTTCACCAAGGAATGTTTTTGTGCATGACCTTTCCAGGCAAAATTGACCTGGTCTTTTGGCCAACTTTAAGTACTGAACCAGCCTTGAAGGCGTCTCTCAGCAAACAGTAAGAAACGAGGCGGTGGTCTCTCTCAGCCGGATGGAACATAGAAAGTTGTTTGCTGCTGATCCACTTCCAATTGCACATGTCATCAGTATTGGGATTGCCCAAGGCGCGCAATCACTGACCTCTTGACTCGAATGATACCAGAATTTCATCGAGTCCCAGCAACTTGGTCGGATGCATCATATGTTGAACTGAACTGATAGCATTGCATCGGACTTGACACGCGGAAAGCCGGATCTTCAAAATGG